GCATGGAGAGCTAGTCACGGCCAGCGCAGCAGGGCCATCAATATGCACCAACGCTGCCTCCGACGATCACGCTGAGGCAGATAAATAGTGCGGATAGCAGCATGGGCTAGTCAAGCTACTTCCTGCATCCATCCTGCATCCATGGTGCAAGCGAGTGCTTCACTGCTCATGCTGCTGCGCCCTTTGCGGGAAATGGAAGAATAAAATCTGGGTTTTACCATGTCAAACGCTGCATGTAGGCTCCCACTGACACGTAGACCGTGTCTCATGGCCTGTATGTAGCGCTTCTCTTGCACATCTCCGTCCATCCCTTGCCATTCGCCCCCCTCCCTCCCTCTACATACACTGCCATTAAGGTGGTGGTACTGTGGGGATGATAATACCCGGAATGGAGCGGAATCCCCATCTGGCCGAGTTCTCGATCGTGGGGTGGATTCTTCCCGTTGGACTGCGATGGACCTTGGGGAGGGGGAGGAGATACAATGGCATATCTTTACTGGCTGGCTCGGTGCATCATCGAATCGCCGTCTGGTCAGGGATGTTAGTAGTTACGGGAAACTCAGCCAGGCGGGTTATTTCGAGCCCACGAGACGTTTCTGTGGTCAGGAAACACGCGCCAGATATCTGATCTAGTCATGCTCTTGCTGTGTGAACCTCGCTTCTATTGGGCCAATACTTCCCGTTGATCGAAGTGAAAAAAAGGGACTGTTTTTAACCTAATAATGGTGACAAGGGAGATCCTTATCTGTGGCATTAGGGTACCACATTCCTGGTTGGCGTGAGCCAGTATTTGCCAATCGGACACAACAGGCTGTCACTCAATCCAAGAGCTTGTGAGCGGTGTAAATGGTGAGACGACCCCAGGCGAGGCTGGTTGAGAAGAGAATAAATGTATTCTTAGGATGCTACGGTGTGACAGTGGGCATTTATACCTCATACCTCGTCGTTGACAAGTCCCTATCGGAGCCATCGGGATGTACGTGCAGGGAGTATGATACCTTAAGGCAATACATAACACAGTCGACTAAGCGTTAACAATATCATAAATTAAATTAGATAAGTTCGAAATCAGCGAGTGTTCTTTTGTTTTTTTCGGGCTCTCCAGGTACCGAGAATAAGGAAAAAGTAAGGGGGGAAAGACAGTGTCCACACGACGGTGTAACAAAAGCAGTTAGAAGGAAATAATAATAATAATAATAAAAATATGCAAAAAGATTCAGAGACTCAGCCCAAAGATGATCTGCCCGGTATGCCGTAAAGAATGGAAAAGTTCGTCTGGTTGCTTGGATGGTTTGGATAGATTTGGTCATAGGTGAGGAGGTGGTGATAGTCATAGTGAAGATGGCTGCCAGGCCTGAATATCTCCTCTCCGTATCGTTCAAGATACGCTTCAGCAAGCAGTTCCATGGTCTGGCCATCTGGAACCATATCAAAGGTATTCAAGTTCAGAGTGCGGATGAACTCCCTTTCCAGCTGCTTGCCGTCTCTCTCACGAATCCACTTCATCATAGCGAGAGCATCCCCGACGTCTGGCTCGCTTTTATCGAGTTTCCCAGAGGCGTAGATACGTCTGATCTTGCGCTCAAGGGCCCACTCCATTGGTGCACCGTAGATGATAACACTTTCGCCGCGGAACAGGACGATACCTTGCTTCTTTGCGCATTCCAAAAGCCGGGTGCGGCAGCTCTTGGTCACGAAGAGGCCCATGTCTTCGTTCAGCCATTCTTCATCGTAGCCTAGCTCATGGGTGATTGTGGCCATGGAGGCGTAAAGGGGGGTCTTGATATCTTCATCTTTAGCCCATTCAGGGTCGAGGAGAAAGTCGAGCTCGAAGGCAGTGTCACGGCACTTGAGATATTTAAGACAGAGGAATTCGCCCGAGCAGAGCAGTTGAATGGGAGCGAAGGCGGTTATGAAGGCATCTTTGCTCAGTTCTTTGTCCAGAGCTTCAAGGGCTAAAGAAGAAGTGTTAAAATAAAGAACAACCACAGTATACACTCTGTAACTTATACAGCATATACATTGATAAAGAATTTTTTTTTTTTTTTTAAATAAAAAAATTTAAAACAAAGGATAGTTGGCAAGGCGAACCTGTTTCGAACCCCTGGAGATCTATCTCAGTTCTATCTTTCTCCTCCACATAACGTCTAGGCTCAGACAACATGCCGCGCGCAGGAAGTGCTTCAATTCTCAACACAAGGTCAAAACTTGTCAAGACGGACTAAAATGGGTGTTGTATGGCACAGATGGCGTAGGCATGCTAGATGAGCAGAAGGCAGGGCGAAAGGAAGGGAGAACAGGGCGAAGAGAGCCGCAGGGAGTAATGGCCGACGCGGACGAGGTAGATATAAAGTAGCGATGCGAGGGAGGGAGATATAGAAATCAGGGCGAGACGGAACCAGGCCCCCCGGACAGCAGTTGGCCGCAGATTGGCAGATTCGATTTTTAATGGAGCGTGCTATTTTATTGCTGTTGTTATTATTTTTATGGCGGGAAACGGGTTTATCGCCATAAATCCAGCATGGAACCTAGCCCGAGGCGGTCGAGATGCAGCAAGCTAACGCACCAGGAGACGGAAGAGAGGAGGGGGCCAGACAAGGAGTCCCCCCGGTGTTTCCCATCCTCAGCAGCCAGTCATCTGCCGGGCGATTTGATGTCTGCAGCCGCGAGACACAAGACGAAGATGGGCACCCTGCAGCCAGCCATACAGGAGGGAGAGCGGCAGACGGCACGCCAGACAGGGAGCTGCGTCTTCCTGTACAGCAATGTACGAATGTCTCGAAGTGTGCATCTGTACGAGCATTGTATTCATGTACCAGCCAGGCCCTAGTCGAATTCGAGCGAGGCGAGACGAGACCCAGGAAAAGAAAAGAAAAGGAGAAAAAAAAAAAAAAATTAGGGCCTGGGAGAAACGAGAGACAGAGCCAGAGCCAGAGACCCAGAGAAAGGAGCCATCGGACGGGCCTGGGGGATCCACCGTCCGCCTGTCGAGCTCCTCGAAGCCAGCTAGATTCAAACGGAGTTTTCTTGTAGCTAACTAGCTCGACGTATTATTGCATCATGCTGGGTCTGCTATCAGTCGATTCTAGGCGTTGACAGTTTAAAAGAAGAGACAGATCCTGTCGACTTCTTGTTGGGCAGAGAATTCTTCTCATGTTTCCTCAGGCTCGCCCCCCCCCCCCCCCCCCTCACCCCCCCTTTTTTTTGCCCACGGCCGGATGTCTGCCCCCTTTGATGCGGTCACAAAGGATATGTGCGACCCATGGCATATTCGGTACATGCGGGCGAGTACGCAACGATGACGAGGGAGACGGCGTATCAAACGGAATCCTTTAATCGCTCGTCGTTTGATTCATGGATAATCATGGCTCGTTTTCTGGAATGTATCTTTGCAATTCTATCCCGCCAGCCCGCCATGCACCTGTCCGGGTCACATAGGCCAAAACTCCGGTGAGCAAACGTTCCCACAGCACGTAACTATACGGCGTATGGGCTGTTTTCGACAGGCTCCCTCCCAAGTAGGTATGTACCGTAAGCTTTGGCATTCATGTTGGAAGTGTATCAAGTGTACTCTGTACCAAGCAAGGCTCCAGAAGAGGGGAATCAAATCCCTGGATTCGAGCTAGAATCTCACACCCTGTTGATTGGCCCGCCGGGGCACAGTTGGTAGACAATACCGAGGGAAATTTGAGAGCAACCTTCCTCGCTGCCTGTGTTTGTTCTCCATGTGACTGGGCACCCTGTCTCGCATTGATGGTGCGTCCCGTATCTTGCGTTCTGACCCCCCCTGACACACGGTCCGCTGGTAGGGAGCCACTCTCTGTAGCCAGCCAACATCGCCCTTTTTTGCGATGGCCCTTTGTTCGACATGGTAATTAGCTTTTGGGGAGCTCGGGAAGAGGAGTTCTCCTGGTTCTTTTGGATCCACGGTTCCGTTGTACCTTATGCTTATCCTCAAGCCAGCTGGGGGGAGGCTCTGAAGGTTTTGGACCATGACAGGCGGGATCGCGGCGAGTCAACCATGGTTGGGTGGCAGCGCGGATCATGCATACTGTGACCTTTTTCTTCTTCAAGAAACTGGTTGCATACCTGCTCCGTATGCCTCTGGCCTGCCCTCAATCAATGCAAGTTCGTCTCAGGGACTGACCAGACCCCCCACGTCGACGTTTGTACGGAGTAGGTCGGAGAGCAGTATGCATCCTGAGGATCCTCAACCAGCCCTCCCCTTTCGCTTTCATCCTTCCGCCCTGGGGTCTCCGCTTGATGTATGTATACATAGTATTGCGAATGAGGCGGCCGAACACCCGCGTGACTGACCGTCCGGACTCCTTCATGCTGAATGCCTGCGGTTTGGAAACACGCTTGGTGGTGCGATACGGCGCTGTATACGACGCATATACACCGCCAGTGCATCGCCCGCTGTTTGATATATATTTATATATATAAATAAACACGAGAAAACGGCTTGCATCGAGTTCTCCACTGCGTCTCCACGGACTACTGCAGCCTTAATTAAGTCTCTGTCGCCGGCCTCTTGCTTTTGAAAAGAGGAGCTGGGGTGCAGATTGCATATTCCGGGCTCCAGCTCGAGCGCGAGCTTCAGATCCATGCAGTAGTTATCCACCCGCTGGCGAACAGACCTCTGATGAGTATAATTTCCTGTCTAGAACGTGTTCGGCGGGTGGTATCGACCTGGAGGATCTTCTCTGGCCTGAGATGGGTGAATGTTGGTGGGAGTCGTTGCCAGGCTTTCACTGCCGGACACGCCTATGGACAGATGAGAAGCGGATTTAACCCCATTCAAGTTCGGTGGATACCTGAATGCCAGCCTAGAAGAATATTAATCCACTTTCTTCTATGTTGATGATGAAATGATACCTGATAGCTCAGTTGAGCGCGTGGTATAGATAGAGGCTTGAATATTGGCTGATATCGAAGCCGGTCAAACACGACTAACTACCAAGGCCATACTGCTTATACCAGAATATACCCCCCTTAGAATGCCCTTTGTATGTCTTCATACCACACTCAAGGGCTCTCTATATGCTTCTCTCACCTTTAGTTGGCGGAAGTTCCCGTCACACAGTGAATTGAAATTTGGTAGTATAAATACGCTGGTTCTTCAACTTCAACTTCTTCTCAGCTACAACCTACAACCCCTACAGGCTTCGAAAAGCAAGACGCCTCTTACCTCCAAAATAAGGGATACAACAGGTAATTCATTACCGTCTCTTTACCCAAGCAGGCAGCTCTGTTATCTGTTTAGCATGCTGATATTTGAAAAGTACCGGCTGCCAGAAGTGTCAGATACCATGTCTCATCTCAAGGAAGAGCCAAAGGAGGATGCCTGGATAGAGGTTGAAACTGAGCCTGAGCCACCAGTAACTTTCTTGTAAGTGGTTGGATGTCATATCCGACGCTGTCCTGCTCTGTTACAAGTTAGAGCTCTAACCTTCTTCACAGAGAAAGCCCCTATGCTTCGAAGCCTGCCATGTTCCGCACCTCGGATGGCACAATCTTCTCAGTGCCAGAGGGCTTCATCTCCAAACTGCCGGCCCTGGCTGATCTCCACAAGGAAAATCAAGACGGAGTCACCAACTTGTCATTTGACAAAGAGGTAGCTCACGTATTCTTCCACTGCCTCTGCGCTGGGACCTACGATGTAGGCTGCGGTGAATATTACCATTCTGCTTGGAATGATCCTGGATACTGTAAGGCAGTCTTTGAATTGAAACTCAGCCTTCGCGTCCATGCTGTTACGAAAGAGTATGAGTTCTTCTCCCTAAAATTTGGTGCTGAGACTCATATGAAGGATCATTACAAGTGGCTTCCACTTGCCGTCTTTATGGATCATATCCGAGAGAACCTGGCTTATTTCAAAGACGATATGGACTGGCTTCACAAGCAGGTGCAAATTGCCCTTGAAGCCACATTTGAAGGCAACTCTTTTTTCTATGAGAGCTCCGCCTTTCTTGAAAACATTGGGCACTCTCCGGAATTTGACAGGCTTTTGGCCCAGGTCATGGGGAAAATGTACAGATCTATGCATACTGATGATACTGAAGAAGTTGCATGGACACTGAGCAAGGAAAAATGGGGTTGGTGAATTCTAGTCAATTTATCGAAAAAGATAAAACTCGACGGAGAATGGTTTCTCAAAGCATGGAGCTCGCCATTTCATCTGTCATTGATTTTCCGCCTGTAGCGTTTCATTAACAATGTGCTTTTCTAGTTAGCATTGTCCTACCCAAGGCGAGAATATACCACTGGTTACATTTTATCGCAGAGTGAGCAAATAGCCGTAACCAATCTGATCAAATAATATTTGGTAACTATCAAATATTGAACTTCATTATCCATCAACCCATAATGAGGCTAATTTCCTTATAGATTAAGGTAAATCTTTTATCAAAATGATAATCCTAAAGATTAAACAAATCAAAGAAGATGTTACTAATTGACAAAGAAAGGGGACCAGTATCCAAAGTTGATCGAGTAGTGGATGAATGTTAGGTACAAAAGAGAGATGTCCTTGACAGCACCAACACAAATAATGAAACGCCTTCGAGATATGGATCATCTTTCTTTCGTACCAACCATTCTCCCTATTTTATGGAAATATCATCCTGCCCCAGGCTTGACAGTCTCCCTTTCTTGCTGTTATTTCCCATCAGTTGAGCTTCTATGTTGTCTTAAGTGTGAGGCTCATTCCAATTTTCTCTCAGCCTGGGCTGGCTGGACAACTATAAGAAACCATGAATTCCCTCGTCCCCATTCTTCAATATTCAAAGTCCCTTTTCTCTTCTTTTCTATCATACAAGAGAACTGGTCAGCAGCATCAAAACGCAGTGTTTGCTGGAAAGAGAGACGTTTTGCCTACATCCAAAAAGGACACCCACCCCAAGAGACATACCAAGAGAGACCAGCATGTCAGAGCCATCTTCAGATCCCAGAGAGGATGAATCGTAAGAATGCCATTCTCCTATACTTATTATTTGACATGTTTAGAGGTTGAAAATAGTTACTGATTATTCCCCAGACCCTACACTTCTCCTTTATGTACCATCTTCTTTGGAGACAGCAAGACAGGATATCCAATCCACAACCTCCTCGTAGACGGCTATCCGACATTAGCAAAGTTATTTCGTGGGAGTCAAGGGACCATCTGGCTTAACGATGTACACGAATCCGTTGCACATACGTTTATAACGTATCTGTATACCAAAGAATTCAGCTACGAAACTTCAGGGGACAATATTAAAGACTTCGAATTCGCCCTCCGCCTCATATATGCGGCAGGCACTTACGGCTTGTCGGAACTGAGCGAGAAAGCACACGAATTACGGGAAGAAGCAATGGATTCGGGGAAAAACCCTGAAATTCTCAATGTTGCAAAGGCAATGCATATGTATTTCAGGGGATCAGGATGGTATCCTGATATGATAAAGTCCGCGATAGAGGCTGACTTGAAATTTGGGCACCCAACGTGTTTGGATCCGATTATTGACGCTCTGGGAGAAAACAGAGAGTTCGAAAAGTTGGTAATGAATGTTATGGCGGAGATACTGATGGAAAAGCTCTGTCAGAAGCCGACAGAGTGAACCGAACGGTGTGGCTCGAACATTAACTGGAGGTAGCAGCCCATACAGGGAGCTTGTTTTCGGTGCTTGGGGAAAGGAATAGAGAGTGTGTCAACTCCAGTCATCATACTGTTAGGTGACTCAATTTGACTGGCCGGTAATGCTAGAAATTGATTGTAAACAAAGTTCTTAGCCTCTAGAAATATCAATTAAGTAAATATATCAATACTAAAAACTGATCCTTTCGTCAACCGAATAATACTTGTTGCATGGTAGCCGAGAATGGGACAATTGAACAAGCCAGTAGACACAGGACGTTGTAAACTCAGGGGTATAATGGACAAACCGGTAAGTTCAGTATTGACCATCAATGGTGAGAGTTCCCGTCTTTGTGATCATGAACTCCGCGACAGCAACATCTTTTCCGCTCTCTTTGCCATACCCGGACTCCTTTATACCACCAAAAGGCGATTCGGCGGCTGATGAGTTACCTATATCATGGTGGAATTAGACATTATTCAGTGTGAAGATGGTTAAATAGGGGTTGATTACCTGTGTTGAGTCCAATCATACCAGCCTCCAAGTTCTCTAGCATTCTCCAGACCCGGTCAACATCCTTGGTGAAGGCATAGCTAGCCAGGCCCATGCTTGTATCATTGGCACACTTGACAGCTTCCTCTTCGGTATCAAACTTGTACAACGCTGCAATGGGAGCAAATGTCTCTTCTCGCGAGATAAGCATCTCCGGCCTCATGTCTGTGATGATAGTTGGCTCAAAAAAGTAACCCTCACAGCCAGTCATCGGCTTACCACCCAATATCACGTTGCCTCCTAGCTTCCTGGCATCCTCCACCTGGCTTAATGCCTTATCGAGGCCTCGCGGCGTAGTCACTGGACCCATGGTGGTTCCGTCCTTTGCACCATGGCCAACAACCAGCGCCGAGGTTCGTTCTTTGAACATCTGAGCAAACTTATCGTATACTCCGCTTTGAACATAGACCCTGTTGGCTGTGATACATGCTTGCCCGGCATGACGCCATTTCAGCGCCATTAACTGGGTAAGCGCCTGGTCGAGGTCGGCATCATCAAAGACGATAAACGGACAGTTCCCTCCAAGCTCAAGGGTGACTTTCTTCAACCCCTGTGCGCAATGAGCGGCAATCAGCTTCCCCACGCGTGTAGAGCCGGTGAATGTGACCTTTTTAACATGGGGATGCTTGCAGAGAGCCTCACTGAGCGAAGGGGTATTGTCAAGGTCAGTGGTCAGCACATTAAAGATACCTGGCTCGTAACCTGCCCGCTTAGCGAGCAGTGCCAGCACCAGTGTAGTAATGGGTGTCTCTGGGCTGGGCTTCACGATCATGGTGCATCCGGCTGCAAAGGCAGCTCCGGCTTTTCGAAGGATCATAGCAATAGGGAAGTTCCACGGCACCAACGCCGCAACCACGCCAATAGGCTGTTTGATGGTGAAGACTCTTCGATTTGGTGCAGCAGGAACAGCCACAGTGCCGTGTATTCTCTCTGCCTCTCCAGCAAACCACCATGTAAAGCCGAGGGCGTAGTCAATCTCGCCCAGCGACTCGGCAATTGGCTTGCCAGTTTCGTGAGTCAGGATCTTTGCCAGATCAGATCGAGCTTCACGGATGAGTCCATCCCATTTCATGAGCAGCTGAGCTCGGGTGCGAGGGTTCACTTTTCTGAACTTTTCAAAGGCAGCCTGGGCGGCCTCTACAGCGCCAGGGACATCCTTTGCAGTGTTTGTAGGGCAGCTGGCCCAGGGCTTACCAGTGCCGGGGTCTACAGCCTGTTAGAAGACTTGCATCATATTATATTGATGGCATCGCTTACCGACAACTTCAAATCGACCTCCATCGCTAGCAGTAACCCATTCATTGTTCACAAAGGAATCAAAATGGAGGAGACTGGGGTCATCCAGCTAAGCGATATTAGCATGCAGTAAATGGCAAATATATTACTATCGCTTACTTTGAAGGGAAGCTGATATTCTTTCGCCATCATGAGGCTGTCTTGTCCTTTCTATCAAATAAAAAACAGTAGCTGCTTGTCTTTCCGGTCATCCCTGGCGTTGTAGTGAATCTGATAGCTTCTACTTTGTATTCACTTTCGTCGTTTCCCCGCAGCTTTTTAGCCGAAGAAAATCACCGAGATCCGGCATTCCCCCGTAAAGTCCGGAGTATCACAGCAGAACTGCGGCTTGGAGTTCTTGTTAATAAACGAGTACCAACTTGATGCTGACATTCTGCTGCTGATATTCCGTGCGGGCAGTATCGATAATGCTGTACGGGCTCGCAATGATAACAATAACCCGCCACAGCCCGGGGGCGCTGACAAGCCGGGGTCATACCCCATAGAGCACAGGGCTGGGGCTTAAGTATCGAGCTGATCCCTGGAGTCATGGCTGGCCCAGCGAATAATTATCCGCGAGCTTTGTGTGCTTGGCTATGATTAATATACGGCTTACTTCCCTTGGAGATGCGCCAGACGGTCCGTTCAGGGGTAACCGAGACATCAACTACTAGTAGGCATAAGATGTCCAGCTTGTCTCTCGACGGGACCAAGTCTCCTAGCCCTGGCCTATTCCATGGTTTCAAGCAAGCAGTTGGTTAAACTACCACAGGCTGGTCAATAATTTAGACGCTGTAACATTTAGAAACCCAAACCCAGAGTTGATCTATCGATCTCGCGTCAGAATCTGCGGTACCCATCCGCCACTTGGCCTGGGGAAGAACCGAACGAGAGATCTGGCAACTTGTTACTTCAATGCGAGCGTTCCGCAAATCTGGTCTCAAACGGGCTGCTGTCCTACCTTGCCGGCGTCTTGGGCCAATGATGCTGGCTGCCCTGCCTCCATCCAACCGGTTAGCTATTGGTGGACGAAGACATCCCATCCACGGAATATGTATAACATGCACCCTTTCGACGGGGTTGTAGACCACAAAATTAGGGAGACACGCTGTATCCCCAGGGGGGCACTTAGAACATGCCTATAAGGGGCAATGCAGGCCAATGTCCATATATAAGCATGGGCATACTCCGTACCGCGTCAATGGATCTTGGGAGAGCACCACGAGTATAACCATCCTCTCCACAGCAAGGAACGAGGAAGGCGACGTTCGAGCCTCTTATTCAGTTGGTTCTTGAGTTTGCAGAGAGAATTGATCTTCGAATTCCGCTGCAGTCGATCGCTCGGCTGAGATAGTGTGCATCGGTGGCTTGAACGCATCCAAACTATTGATCAGTTGCAAACCAGACATCAAGCACTGCCAGATCTTGTGCTCCGTATGTTCAATATCTTATATCTGCCTGGTTCCGCACGTCTCTCTTCATTGTGCTTTTCATCTCCTTGACTGTGAAGTTGAATATCGATATCTCGTCGGATCCACTAACTCACTGTTCTCCCCTGACAGCCCGTCCCACGCTGCGATGCAAAGTCCATCCACCCCTACAAGCATTCTACCGATTCCAACCCCCGCTGGTGAAGACTATGATGTCACAATAGACGAGGAGAGCGCCAACAGGCGGAAAGTTCTCGTCACCGTCCTTGGTCCGTTCTTCGGCATTTGTGTCCTGATCATCGCTGTGTCTCTGGCCATCCGCTACTGGAAAGAAAAACGCAAGCAAAACAACGTGAAATCGGCTGCAGAGATGGTCCAGTGTCCAGACGATGCAAGCTCTGTGCCGTATTCTCCTACTTTCAGCAAATATTCAAGGGACATAGAGGCGTCCCCCTGGAAGCTCAAGCCTGCACGGAACGAGCTGACTTGACCGATCGAATAGCAATCTTCTTCTTTTTGCTAGCTGTGACTATTTTGGCTGGGACAAAATATGCACTGGGATAGGCGCTGGGATTGGAACTGGACCGGGGACTGGCATTGATTGTAGCTGCGGTTCAGCTGGGGGAATTTGCATCGGATTTGAAAGGGTTATTTTATGCCTGCTGTTCTTTTCAGCCTGGAGTTTCTGGGGACAGCGTCACGATAGTTAACGGATTTCATGGCCCTTTTCCTATTTACTGTTGATCATCTGCTATTTCGTCTTCTTTTTGAGTGCTTCATCTTACGACTTCACGATGTTAGTATCTTAATGTTGTTTTCCTCAGGGGGTTTGATCCCGTCTGCGGCTGAAACCGGATAGGAGAAACAATCATCCTCGAATTTTCTTTCCATGACTCCCATTAGCTTTCAATTTCCAACGACAATGAAGAAACTAAAGCAAGATAGTGATGTTGGTCTATTATTCTATCGTCTAAAGAGATATTGCTGTACAGTTATCCGAAGTATTGGTAGACACTGTCTCAGCGTGAGGTCTATCAAATCAACCACCAAGATGGCCGACATCCTCACTTTCTACCACTTCAACGACGTCGTGAGTTGGTTCTACCATGTAGGACCAGGGCTTGCGTGCTCGGATTTGCTAATAATGTGAGCAGTATCACATCTCAGACGTGAGTCTTATATCCAAATTTGCCTATGTCTTCGCTCAGGCCAGACAGGACAGTAAAGGTCCAGATATCCAACCCCTGATCATCTTCAGCGGAGACGTCTTTTCTCCATCTACGGAATCATCTGTGCTAAAGGGAGAGCATATGGTCCCTGTTCTCAATAATCTGGGTATTGACCTTGCGTGCTACGGGAATCATGGTACGACCAGTTGATTTCTCTACCATGCATTCATGTCTTTTGGAGATATTCAATATGAGTATTAATTCAACCTCCAGACTTCGACTTTGGTGAAAGCCGGCTGCTAGAATTGTCTGGAAAGACGAATTTTCCCTGGATACTATCAAATGTAGTACATGCAACACCCCATAAGAACCCGGATTCCCACGTGAGGGATGGAAGCCTGCTTGCTCTTGCACAGGAGTATGTTGTTAAGACGATGGGGCAGTATAAGATTGGATTTATTGGCCTAGCTGGGACGTAAGTTCTTATGTCTATATAGCAACTTTTCTTGCCAAATCCTAGGTCAAATTCAATTGAACAATGGTGTTGACGGCTGATATTCTGCATCAGAGACTGGCCGTCAAACTGCCAACATCTACCACCAGCCCGGTTCCTTTCCCCAGCTGAAGTGGCCCATAAACTAGCCGTACGTCTACGTACCGTGGAAGGATGCGATTTTGTCATCGCGGTTACACATATGCGCCTTGCTGAAGACCTTTCCGTGTCAAACGCTACTTTGGACGGGGACGGACGTATCGACCTACTCCTGGGAGGACATGACCACGATGTTGTTTGTCGAATTCTGGGTGACACCGATGATAATCCAGGGATCATACTCCAAGGAATAACAGATAGTGCTGCTAGAATCAGGAACGGAGAAATAGTGCACGTTGAGGGTAACGTAAGAGTCATCAAGAGTGGAACAGACTGGAGGTCCTACTCTGTCGTACAGCTCAAGGTTCGGAAAGGAGGTGACGGTAAAGCACAGCTTGACAATATTGAAGGTACACAATAATATATTCCTTTTACATTCATGTCACTATTTGAAACGCATATACTAACCCACCAAATATAGTCACTCAATATCTGGATCTCACTCGGATGCAAACTTACCAGAAAATACCGAAATGCCCGAAGACGTTGTCAATTCTTGGATCTGTTCAAGACCAAATAATGGACGCTGTTCGACATCCGCTGTTTCACACTCGTGTGCCGCTCGATGGCCGCTCGGCTGTTATTCGCAGCCAGGAGACTAATCTAGGGAACATGCTGGCTGATGCAGTCCGGGCATTCTACGATACTGATATTGCATTCATTAACAGTGGAGGAGTGAGATGCGACAGGATAATTGCAGAGACCAACGGAAATAACGCATTGAAAGTCAAAGATATCATAGGTGAGAACTGCATCAGTTCAATTATAAGTATAACCATGGCTCATAACTTGCAATGCACAGATATCATGCCCTTTGACAATGCATTTGTTGTCAAGAGAGTCGGTGGAGCGACCTTGCTATCTGCATTGGAAAATTCCGTCAGTGATTCTCACACGGATGGGCGTTTTCTCCAGGTTTCTGGTATGCGATTCAAGGCTAGTTGGCAGAGGCCAGAAGGGAGTCGTGTTCTCGAATCCTTCTTCGAACCAAAGGCCGGTGAGCTGGAGGAGATTAATCCAGGACGGACTTATACTATTGCCATGGTTTCGTTCATAGCCACTGGCTTCGACGGATATGACTGCTTCAAGGCTGAGGAGACACTGGTCGATGCAGAGAGTGCTATGACAGATACTAGCCTGATGCTGCAGATTTTCAGGCATTCCCGAAAATCTAACAGTGTACAGAACCGTGTAACTAACAATGCTGATGGGAACGTGGAAGCTAGGAGCGATGCTGCAGGAGATGATAAGACTGAAATGGGGGTTAAACGTGCCATGGAGGCGATTATCACAGGCTATGATGACATTGATGGCCTACCAATTGTAAGTCCGGATATCGACAACCGGCTTACCTTCGTCTCAACAACAGGCACCGATCTATAATAGAACACGCTTTTCTCAAGCATCAAGCCCTCCTGAACCGCCTGGAGTAAAGAATGACACCGGCCGAATACAGCCGAGTTTGCCGAACCGGCCTCGTATTTGTCGAGTCAAGGGCGCAGATTCTCACATGCTGTACTCAGACACCCTCAGGAACTGTCTACCTGCCGTGGACGAAGCGTGAGTCAGAAAATATACCCTCAGGATGCTGAAAGACCACGACGATTTCGAATACCTGATTCTCGATGGCGACCAGCTCCGTGAGCATCCGTGCCAGGAAGCACTGCTCAAGCTGATAAATAAGGCTTTCTACGAGGGTGGTCAGGCAATATATAGCGGCTCTCTGAGTCGTTTCGAGAGCCTGGAAGAGCTACTCAATACAGTAGACGATCATGGAAGATGCTGTGTCCTTTTTCGAAGGACTCCCGGACAAACAACGAATGACTGGACCGATCCTGTTGCCACGGCGATGTTACGACCGTTTAGAGAGGCGATTGTTGGGCTGCCACATATCAAACCCGAGCCCGTCGATGCGTCTGGTGATGTACTGACGGGCTACCACGATGATATCAAGTCCGAATATTGTGAACAGCCTGTTCGATGCAAGGGGAATACGCAAGATATCTTGTCCATTGCCATGTGGGAACCGGTATCCGTTGCTGTTAAACATGACCCGAGCTTGCTCCACAGTGGGCTGGCCTCTCGCTGCCTTGCCCTTCTAGAGGCAGATCTCTGCTCTCGGGTGAATGAAGCGAAGCTAACTACACGCAGACAAGAGGCTGCTGGGGCTAATCATCCACAATGTGAAGCTGGTCCCCTGACGATGCGGCTGCGGGCAACTTGGGAGATAAATGGAGACTACTGGAGACGACGGGGCTTCACGCCGGTCGAGGTCCGCAGAGTCCCAGCAGGCGTATGGGGTGCGAAAGTGCCTTTTCGCCTGATGACTATGACGAAGACGATACACTGTTCATCTGATAGAAACGATGCATAGATGTTGGATAGATTTTGATAGAGCCTGTCCATGGCCCCTTTTCTTGCCCCCTTTCGGGTATAACAACTGTACAACCTGGCCATGCCTATTAATAAAACCGTGAGATATTGTCCTAGACCCAACGAGAATCAAGATATGAATGTTTCTTGGGTCCATTCTGGCCTCCACATGCATCCGCCGGCACTGTCAATTGTTGGTGGCGCACCAGGGGATGCATGGACGGCAGCTATAAGCATCTCTATTGATAGCTGGCCATTTCATTCATGCTCCGTAGATATAACGATGTAACCAACTTGAACAGCTACCAACATTGAATACCACCGTTATTCTGAGCTTCTTCTCCTGTAAAGAGATACTCCGTAACCAGTTTATCCATCTGTATGCCCGCAAATCCATCGTCGAGTCCTCTGACAACGCAATGGAGGAGCCTCGCCGCCAACGACCCATCCCTGCCACTCCATCTGTGATACCTCCAGTGACAGCAGCGCTCTTCACGGGGCTGACCCGTAGCTGCATGTCTAGCTGCGGCCGAGCTGCTAGGCAGCTGGGTCCCTTTGCAGGCGCCTGAAGATCCTTTGAGGGGCGGGCGCTGGCGTAAGGTCTGACAAGCCAGAGTCATGCAGCGCTTGCGCCGGCCACCAGACTCGTTCCAGTGATCGATCGCCATCAAGGTCGAGGACGAAGACGAAGGAGAAGAAGCAAAGCGAGCGCTGCGGCTGGACAGGCTGGCCATCGACGGGCGCGTACGAAGCCCTGCCTGGCCATATAAAAACAGCCCTGCCCGCCGCGAGTGCTTCCATCCTGAGCTCAACCGCAGCCTTCTCTCACCTCGACCGCCGGAAAACACAACACCAACTATCCAGCAAGCCTGCAACGCCCCCGGTATGCCGCTGGAACCCCCTTTCCCTCCTCTCTACAGGCAGTCGGGCGTCGATACAGCTCTCGATGCGCCGGACGACGGGAAGACGCAGGCTGGCCCATCTTCGGCCGGCCGGCTGCGCATCAAGCTTGATCCCATCGGCACGCTGCCCACCATCGCCCGCGTCAAGGAGCCATATACCGCACACGAGACGAGACACGGCAGCCACTCGGTGTATCTGGTCGAGGACGAGGGCATCGACAGGTTCGTGGCGGGCGACTTGAGCGTCAAGCGGCTCAACGATATCCATGGCCTGCTCTGGATGGCCGGGCGGCCGCTGAACGCGCGCAAGATGCAGCGGTACAAGATGATCGGCTTCGAATTCCTACCCACGGAGCAGGCAGACCTGCATCTCATCCATTTCTCGAACAAGATCTACCTCAAGACGCTGCCGGACTACATCCTCGACTACGACTTCTGGGAGAAATACCTGTGCAAGGACGAGGCGCTGCACAAGCTGGCGTGCGGCTTCCTGCTCTCCTGGGTCTGGCTGATATGCTCGCCCATCGACCTGCAGCTGGCCCAGGACGCCCATCTCGTCTCGCCCCAGATCACCTGGCCGTGGTGGAAGCAGTTTGTCAAGGACTTCAACCGACACGTCGACTTCAACGCCCTCGACAAGGTCAACAAGCGGTACCACTTCGGCGAGCTCAGGCTGGGCCGCATCAACACCATCTTCCGCCTGCGTTTCTTCCGCTCGCACTTCATCCGCGGCTATCTCTACAGCTATAACCGCTACCAGGTCTTCTTCGAGCGCAACTTTGGCTGGCTCATCGGGGCATTCGTGTATATTTCGGTTGTGCTCTCGGCCATGCAGGTCGGCACCGCCATACACCCGTTGAGCGAGAGCATCGCCTTCCACCGGGCTTCCTACGGCGTCGTTGTCCTGTCTATCGTTGCAGTGGCTGCCTGTCTAGCCTTTGTTGTCGTTCTCTTCTCCTGGATCTACCTCTATAACATGGTGGCTGCCATCTGGCACTCTCGCAGCGAGAGGCAGAAGAGGAAGAAACTCGCTGCCCGGCTGGCTCAAAAGTCTGAGCTCGCTGATGGAGCTCCATAAAAATATCTTTTCTATTTGTTCTCTTTACGATACATGAGATTGTATGATCATTGTTGATTCATGACTGATGGAGTTCACGGTGCCTCGAGCGTATATCTATTACATTACATATGTTTATTTGTTTGTCTTGCGGTCATGGTCCAGGGCTTCGGATCCGCCGTGGAGTTATACATACCCCTTGTTCATATAGCTAGTTATATGCATATTTTACCAGAATAGCACTGCATTTTATGATATCAGATTCAGGTGCTCCCTTGTATTGCGAATAGTAAGATAATACTAAGGTAATAGAATAAGTACCCGGTGGTTAGCAATAGAGAAAGACATTTGGCTAAGTGGAAATATCTCGGTGCTGACTCCCTAGTTTTGGAGATCTTCGAGAGATTCACTGAGCGTCTGGATCATGACCATCAGCTCATTCCTCCGGCGGGCCCTGTCAGCTGGTTCGCCTGCAATACGCGTAATCTCTAGATCAGTCATCTCCAGAACCGAAGTAGGAGAAAAGATGGTGGGAAGCTTGGACATGAGATGCCGTTCAATCACCTGGCGGCAAACATTATCTACGAATGTCTTCATTGCAACCTACCAGTAGGGAGACCTTAAGTTAGCCAAGGTAGCCAAATGTTATCAATGCAACTTGTTACCTTGTAGTAAGCATCCAGGGCAGTTTTTGCTTCCTCGCATGCCCGTCTTTCCATATCAAAGATGACTTCTTCCTCCAATGCCTCTTCTATCTGGCGACGATGGTGTTCTCTCTCGTCGTAATCTTGGCCCCAGGTACTTCCGAGGCTGCCTTTAGCTTTCTTAAGTGCACTATGTATAGCATTCTTTGTGCCCTTTTGTCTGGCCTTCTCGACGTTGTCAGCATAGGAGTGATTGTACGTTATTGGTGGCATCTTTTCATCTTCACAAATGCTGTGGAGCTCTGCAAGCGCTGCAGCCAAGTTCTTCTGGAGCGAAGCTTTTATGGACCGCCATAACTCATTACGAGCACGGTCTTCTATGAGGATGTGACAGAGAGCTTGCTCAACAAATGTGCTTATTAACTTATGAACCCTCTTGGTGTGTGCGTGGGCTATAGTGCTCCAACGGCTCGATTGAACGTGGAATAGTTCCATGAGTAATGAGTATCCGTAAGTTCCACTGAGTTCCAGGCCTCTGGAATTTTTGTAAGCCTGAATGAAGTACGTTAGTCAGTCATACAGTTGAGAACAAATAAGAACGCGGCGTGAGTATATAATTATATATTTACCATCAGAATCCAGGTATCAACCCCATCAATAAGCGCCTCAGGATTCCCCCATTCTAGTGGGAAAGCTGTGTCCGCATTGTCTTCGTTCCTGTGGTTATCTTTTCCCTGCAGCTTTAAATCGTATTTAAAAGCCTTAGTGTGCATATACCTAGCAAACGTGCTGTTCAATTCATGGGTCCTGGATCGAACACGATTGACTAATACGTTGTTAGCTTTCAAGTTGAAAAACTGAGAGTAAATTCCTTGATATGTTCCCCCAGTCGCAGCTTGTACAAGTCCTTGAAACTGCATGCTGAGTTTGGAGAGAAAAAGCCTCTGCGCTTGTGCGTTAGGACGCTCTTCACCAAGCTTGGTGACCTCTTTTTGTGCATCTTCTAGCAGCTTCGTTATCTCGGAGCAGACTTTAGGGAGCTCATTTTCAATGTGTTGCGCAAGGAGTACTTCGAGTGAAGATTTGAGCGCATCGATGCCCACTCTGTTGGGACTAAGGTATCTGCTCTTCCAGCCGGGTTTCTGAAACCAGCTGAGTTCTTTTTTCTTTCTTTCCTCGGCAGTTATCCCAAACTCAATCTCTTTGGGCGATGGGTTCTTCAACAGATAGTAACCTAGCTTTAACTTGATAGGGCCTTGGTTTTTGGCCACGGCTACGATTCTCTCTTCAGTTCCATCATTAATGAGGTCAACTTTGGTGACAATACCAACAGTCCTGATTCCTTCATTACCAAATTGCCGAGCTGCCCGAATGATTGGCTGAGTCTCAACATCACTGGTAGCTGGGACCACAGCAAGGATAATAGTGCGCGGATTCTCGAGGTATGAATTGACCAGACTTTCAACGACAGAGCGGTCGTCACCTTCGGCTCCAGAGACGAGCCCTGGTAAATCAACTATAGTAAGATGAAGTCCAGTCTCACCGACGACCTCAATTCGCAGAACATCCAGACCAAATGGAGGGGCATCTTTCTGGTCCACGAAGCCCCTTAACCCCATGAGGGTCCCAACAGCTTCAATAATCTCAGGTAACTCATCATAAGTGTGAAGTTGCCTCTTATAAGCTCGGAGTTGAATTGCTGTTGCTTCATCTCGGGAGGAGTGAGGTATAATGGTTGCGGTAATAGTCTCCACTCCGGTAAAGTGACGGAGAACTATCTCAGTGGCAAATCTGGTACACAGGCCATCCTTTCGGGGGAACGGAATCTCTGTGATGCCTTCGAGGACTGAACTCTTCCCCGCGGACTGGTCGCCGCAGACAACTAGTTGTGGAAGAGAGATATGGTTTCCAGCTCCGCGAGCTCGGGCCTTGTCGATAAGGTTCAGCTTCGACTTGATTGAAGCTGACTCAATCATGGTATCAGCGCCCTCTGTCCGGGAATGAGCAGATATCGTCGCGCCGGGATATTTATCTTAGATTGTGTGGTTACTTTCACGCAATTGTGGCCAGAGGGGTGCCTATGCAGTGCAAGATATTGTGTTCTTAGAAGAAGATAGCGAGATCAGTCAAGAAATAAAGGTAGCTTGGTATCAAGTTGGCAGCCGTCACCTTCAAGCTTGCTGCAATAACCATGACAATGATAAAGCCACTCACACGAGTGAGTCCCTTTATAGGCTAAACGATAGAATTCTAGATGTTCTATCAAGGATATGAAGTGAGCAATGAAACCACGATCTGGTAATATATGATTATATTACACCACACCGGCCATGTTCTGGCTATAAGTCGTCAATATTGCCATGTGTAGGGGAAAGATCCCGCTTCGTGTAGGCCGGAAGGATATAGCACAAACGGAAGAGGTATCACTTTAGCCTTTATACTGCTGACGGGACTCAATGTGCCCTTGCATATGGCTCTGAAGATGTCTGTTGTAAAGATGAAGCTGAAGGAAACAAAAGGATGAAACAAGGTCGATGAAGTCGATGAAGTGAGGTTGAAAAGAAGCCTTGTCCATTGCCCAATCGGGTTAGCCCTTCCGGCGCCTCTCGCCAACTTCCGCCCGTCGATGTTTTGTTTGTTATCAATTTTGGCCAACGAAGCCTGGAAACATCACGATCCCAGTGTCTCTCTCCCTCCATGCCACAATGATACCCCTCTTGAGACTAAAACATCACTGCATGTTGATGGTTAGCTTTATGGCGTGGTCTTGGGCCCACAGACCATATCAACCAGTCGGTTTTAGTAGCCTGCGACGATCCTAACCCGGTTAAGAATTCGGCTGCCCGGATGAAGGGAGTGATTCCCGAACACTCACATCGGCTTTCGCTTGAGATCCAGCTTGTGCAAGTTAATTAGTCGTGCAGTTACTTCTTTTGAGCTTGAGATAGCATCGTAGGGTTACTCGCGGTAACCCTACAATATTCTATTCCCGGCATGGGTATTCCGTATGGATGGAATCTTTTACTAATGGTTCAAAACCAGGCGTTTAGAACAATAGAGTACTCCGTGCCCAATAATGAAAGCCGCAGTTGCACGCTAGTCTCAAGAGGACGGGAATAGTCTCTCTTATCTACGGAGATACTAATTAGCTGGACGGCCGTAACGGTTGAACGGGGTGTCTTATAAACGGAGCGTCACCCTGATGCAACGCAAACATTACTGGCATCTTTGATTTCATAACCATTCCGAGAATGACCGCTTCTGCTCATTGCACTGCTTCCAGTCAAGATGACCATTGACGTGAAACCGGCTTGTCATGTATCAGAGTCTATTGGCGAAGATCCAGAAACGGGCGACAGCGATACTGCCCATGATCCGGATGCCCTCCACACTCTCGGCTATGCCCCTAAGCTGAAAAGGAACCGATCGCTTCTCACTCTCTTGGCTCAATCCCTGGCTATCGCTACTGTTCCCTACGGTGAAGGCGGGCCTCTTCTTAGCGCTATCTATGGCGGTGGGCCGTTGGCAATCTTCATCGGATGGCTTGTTGTGCTTGTGCTAGATCAATGCGTTGCACTCTCCCTTGGTGAACTCGTGTCACGATATCCAACCTCTGCAGGACCATATTACTGGACCTTTCAGTTATCGAAGGAACATAAAGTCCTACTTTCGTTCATCAATGGTTGGGTATGGCTTGTTGGAACGTGGACGATTACTCTGTCCGTCAATTTTGGGTTTGCTGGAATCATCAATGCAACTGTGAGCATGTATCACCCGGGCTGGTCAGCAAGCAGTTGGCAATTACTGCTTACCTTCTATTTCCTGTGCATTCTTGTTTTTATCGTCTGCGCATTTGGCAACCGGTATCTTCCAAAGGTGGATATGATATGCGCTACATGCACCGCAATCGTTATTATAGTAGTCCTGGTTACGCTCTTTGTCAAAACTGGGGACCGCCGCCACAGCATCAGTTATGCCCTGGCGCACTACGACACAACTATGTCTGGATGGGGCGGGTTTAGCTTCTGCATTGGTCTGCTCCCGGCGGCATATACCTTTTCCGCCCTAGGAATGATATCTTCTATGGCCGAGGAGGTATCTAACCCTTCTATTACAGTTCCCAAAGCAATAAGCCTCTGTATCCCCATTGCTGGCACCGCAGGACTTTTGTTTATACTACCGATATGTTTCACCTTGCCGCCGTTACTGGATATTATAAACAACTCTCCCAGTGGCCAGGCACTACCATACGTCTTTAGCATTGTCATGGACTCACCAAACGGCGGCCTTTCCCTTATGGTTCTTATCTTTATTTTGGTCCTACTTTGCGATATTAGCGTAACCGTAGCGGCTTCTCGCACCACCTGGGCCTTTGCACGCGACGAAGCCATTCCTATGTCGAATATATGGGCGCGAATTGATGACAGATCGGGTACTCCCCTCAATGCCCTGACACTTTTGACTGGAGTACAAATGCTTCTCGGCCTAATAAACATCGGAAGCACCAGCGCATTTACAGCATTTGTCTCCGTGGGAGTGATTGCCCTGGCAGTCAGCTACGCAATTCCCATTGGTATCAGTTTATATCACAAGCGTAGTGAAGTGCGCAAAGCGAAATGGAACTGTGGTCCGCTTCTGGGTTTGGTGTCCAATGTTGTTGCCCTTGTCTGGATCGCATTTGAACTTGTACTCTTCAGCATGCCGACTGTTCTGCCAGTTACTCCCGCGTCGATGAATTATTCATCCGTTGTGTTTATTGGATTTTTGGTTATCTGTGCAGTATGGTATTTTCTTTACGGGAAAAGGAGTGAGTCCCCCCCCCCCCCCCCCCTCCTCATGCTGCTCAAAAACCAAGATACTAAATCAGCTAGCTTATAAAGGTCCGCCTACTGCTGAGGGTGTATAAACCCTTAGGAAAAAATTAACATAGTTGATATGGTTGGAGTAAACATCTTCAAGTTAGCTAATCAAAATATGCTGCACAACGGGGTATAAGTGAGATATCATGTCGACAAAATCAATCAAGAAATTTAAACCAAAGGAAAGTACCAGCAATAAAAGAGCGATGCTTGTAACACGAAACGTCTTAGATGTTGAGGTTCAGTAAATAATAAAGGCCGGAATTAGCGTAAACATCGTAAATTGTGTGAAGCATGACAACGGTCATCATTCTGTGTAAGCAGGGAGTATCTTCTCTCTATCATCAATAACCATAGTTGCAGCCAGCCTCTTCTCGGGCCCGAACAAGTAGATTTCTCCAAAGCCCAACACCTCGATATCTGAACGGGTGGGCAGTTGTTTTTCAGCATCTGACGGGGTGATAATTTTCCGCAGCGCAACAGCTATCTCGACAATGACAGCTGAGACGAAAAAGACGATAATCAGTACCGCGACAATGAGTGTCCAGGCCATGATAGGGCGTGCAGATAGCCAGTCAAGGAAAACCGAGAAATCACGGCTGGCAATAATATCTTCGAGGCGCATCCTATCAGCATATGCAGATATCTGAGACTTCGATGGGGGCAGAGACACTGCTATTGGTGCTGGCAATGCTGTAGAAGCAGAAGTTGATGTCAAGGTAGATCCTGGAAGCGCGGCTAACTCCTGTCTAAGCGCAGGTGTCGGCAAATGGTCGGGTAAAATTGGAGATTTGCACCGCGGGTTCTCCCGCCCTCTGGTTGACGGTGAGAATGACGGCAAAGAGGACCATCGATCAGCAAGATATGCATACTTCTCTAGCAGTATGTTGTCACAGCCTTTGAGCGTGTGGCGCGCCCTACTGCTGGTGATAAACGAGAAGACCGCGGTGCAAGGCTGAGAACCTGCGGTGACCCTAGGAGTGGCCCTGAAGCCATCACCACCTGGGACAAGAATTGGTGCAGAGAAAGCCAGTGGGAGAACAGAGACCCAGAGAGCGTGTGCCTTCATCCTGCAGTCAGCGTATCCCGACGGCTTGGTTTAAAACTAGTGAAACGATCGAGCAAGGCAGATTTCGGTGTTTGGGATGAGATCGTATCGATTCGCTCTCCCCCCGTAAAAGCAACTATAGGCTCAAGGTTATATCACCGCTCAGCACGATATGATCTGCGAAAGAAGCTCTACCGCCAAGTCAAAAGCTCAGAGCGCAGCGTGTGAAGTTGATACATATTTGGGCATCGACATGATTCCAGAGCGGGATATAGAGGAGAGACGGAGAAGCGAGCAAGCTAGGAAAATTAGCGGATGGACAGCGAAGATATATTTTTTCGTCTCTACCTCTCCTTCTCATGCAGAACACCGCTAATTCTCAGTAATGCGCGCTAGGTGAGCTTGTCGTCGCTCCTCAAAGTACCTTTCATATAGCAAACGCTGCAACGGGGTACTTTGTGTGCAAAAGTGAGGTGGTTGCAGGAGAGTTTACGTGCTGTGCAACGCCTGATCCCCGCAGCGAGACAGGACGGGAGTTTCTCCATGTGCCTGGGCCTGCGGGCTCGAGTGGACAAATGTGTTATTCTAGCTGCTTGGGGGCTTCAGGGGTAATCGGAAGTTTTACGATAGGCTCCTGTGTATGCAGTACGTAAGCTGGAAGCTGGAGATCGCTTAACTAGCTCGTTATCGGGAGCGGGGAGAATAGGAAGAGGAAGAATGTCTGACAAGCATCAACCAGGTCTTATCACCCGCGACGTTGCCTGACGCTGCTTCATCCTGATGGCTGATCTTTTTTTTTCGAACCCCCTGAATGTTCCGCTTCAGGTTGATTAACATCGAGATATTGATTAAATAAGCTGGATGCAAAGGTTTTTTAATAGGGTCAGCTGATAATACTCCACTCTATTAGCGTATTTTCACCAAATATATCATGTGACTATGTATAACCTGTATTATTTTTGTTATGTAAGGGGAAACGAACAGAATGCTCGAAACATCTCACCAGAAGCATATATACAACAACGCGCAGGGGCAGAAAAATTGAACAGATAGAAAGAAACGATGGTGGGGGGAAAGATTAAGGAAAGACTCAAGATATTACTCCATGCGATCGAGTTTCACGTCGTGGATTGATATGACGTGCGGCCCGACATAACTCTTCTGGCGGATGAGGTACCAGATGACGACGAAAATGGTCACTCCACCGGTCATCAGGGATGCGTAGTTCATTGTAGCAGCCGACGTGGGCATGCTGAATGGGAAGCAGAAGATAATAACAAAAGTGACAATATACAGGCAGCTAATGGTATTTACCACATAGCCAACCCATCCTTTCATAAAGAAGGGGCCTGGGGTGATGCCTTTGCGACCTCGGAGGAGGTGAGGTAGGATTGCTGCGAGGTATGAAAGGGTGGACAACTGCACATAACATCCGACGAAAGCGTTGAAAGCGGTAGTTGAGCCGACATAGATGCATCCAAGTACAGTGACAACGGCGACGCAGACAGTAGTTGCATTGAACGGATTGTGGTAGGTTGGATGTACCCGGGCGATGAAGTTGGAGAAAGGAGTAGCGTTGTCACGGGCTAGGGTCCAGAGGACACGGCCGGCTGTGATATAGCATCCTATACAGGTGATAAAGGTAGGTAGAAACGCAATAATGAGCAGCCCAAAAGCTCCAGCCCTGGTTCCGGTGGCCTGGTGGTAAATAGTTGCCAAGGGGAACGTGGTGAAGGTTCCGAGTACGGCTTCTAGATCATTGATAGAATAGAAAAGAGCAATCATGTATGGAACGGCAGTGATAAAGCCTGTGACAGTCTGCGCCATGATTGCACGCGGGATGTTCTTGCTTGGGCTAAAGGCGCCACGCATTAGCTCTAGGTTTATAGTTATACGCTCCATATCAGAAGCACTTACTTAGGGATCTCCTCGGCCATATGGGAGGTTAAATCACTGGTTCCTACACTGTATGCGCCATTGAGCATTCCAAGCAAAAATACTAGGCCATCACTTTTGTACCCGGTAGTATTGGACCAGTCCCTCCAGACAAAGTCGCTTGTCGCGAAACCTTTACCGTTATAGTGTGGCATAATGGCGCATACTATAATAGTAACAAAGACACCCGCTAGAATAAGGAACATGCCAATATTTGAGATAATTGGCAGAGCCTTGTTAGCGAAGAGCACTGTGAGGCAACACATCCAGGTGCAAATCAAGTAGCAGACAAAGACCTGCCATGCCTGAGGTGTATGGTCTGGGTGGAATATCAAGTACATGGACATGACTTGGTTTCCAAGAATGGATGATATGGAGGCTGCACCAAATAGCCATGCCAATGCATTCCAGTATCCCGCAAACCAACCCACGGGGCGGCCATAGCGGCCGGCGGTGGCTGAGGCCCAGTGGTACACTGCGGAAAAATGATAAGTTAGCCTTCCTGTTTAGTCGTAGAGAGTGACTGTGAGTTATGATGGCAAACAACTTACCGCCAGCAGCAGAGGGAATAGCAGAAGCCAGTTCAGCAATTGAGGCCGAGATAAACCAGTAGAAAAAGGAGACAACAATACTATGACCCAGATTTTAGCATGTGCTCGCTTACCCGCGTCTGCAGCGTAATTACTTACTACTCATAGATAACTCCGGGAGGTCCGCCGTTGAAGATGGCCGTTGTCTAGGTGGACGGGATAGTTAGTGTATCAGTAACCGACATTAATGCTGAATGTGTCATTGCTTGGATCCTAACGGCCAGGTGACGCATGCAAATAAAATGTGTTTTGTCAGGTCAAAAGCATGGACTCACAACACTGCCACCCATTGCAATCCAAGTGTTTCCTGCTGTAACGCCAATAGCGCACATACTGATCAGGCTAAAGTTGCGATCAAGCTGTTGCTTGTGACCCGACGAGTTTATCATCGGGTCTATACCTGGCGAATCTGGCGACTCGGTTGTTGTAACGGTAGCGCCAACCTCCTTCATCTTGTCCTTTGGCGATGCCAAAGGAGACTCGACTTGCTTCTCGGATTCAGCCATTTTGCTATTGTTCTTGCCCGAGAGTGTAAGGAAACAGCCACCCGAGCTTCCCAACTGTCTTCGATAGCTGATATCAGACAAGAAGCTTTTGGAGGCTTTGAATGGTGCGAAAGAGGCCGCGAACGGACAGCAATGGAAGAATCAAGAGAACGACGTAGCGGGTGAATGGGAAAAAGAAATACTAGTAGATGCGAGAAGCTGAAGAATATGATGAAGAATGTGCTTGCTGCAGGAAAAACGGACGAATTGAATATCCCGCTGGGTAGGACAGAACCAGGGAGTTGGACAGGATTGAAGAATAGATGGTTCTACCAACAGGTTTCCCAAGTCGAGACAGGGAGACTCAAATTCGGACCTGCCTGCCAGGCCACGGATTTTTGACGAGAAAGATTGAATAAATGGTTTCCTGTGGTCAAAGGGTCGAACAAAAACGTGGCGTTGGCGTTTTCTGGAAGACAGGGCAATCCCTCGAATGGTGCAGGGAGACGGCAGGGAGTGTGCCCAGGTCAAGGACAAATGAAACCTCAGAAGGGCTTGATAGTCCACTGTCAACAGTTGACTCTTCCCGGATGGAGTAGGAAATCCGCTATCCATGTATGTGCCTCAAGCTCGCTTACAGGCCAGCCACATATCAGGCCAGAGTACAAGTTCTCCATCGCATTCAAGCATTATTCTTCGGCTCGACAGTCTTGTGGGAGATAATAGGCCCCGCTGGACATGGGGGAGCATGTCTCCATCTCCATGCTTGGAGTGGAGGCGAGGGATGGGACAGCGTAGAGTGGAAGCATCGGTAACTTGATAAGGCCCTTATCCTAGCTAGCTTGTCATGATTGGCAGAGTCTCAGGGCCTAGTAGATTTAAGGATTAGGCTGGTTCCATTTCGCGAGTGGACTTTCGCGGGCAGAGTTTCTCGTCCCGCTGGCGAGTCTCCTTATTCCCCTCCGGATGGACTGCGAGAGAAGGAAAAAGCAAAGAAAGGGAGTGAGGCCTTCGTATATGCAAGTGAATTTTGGCTTCTTTGGAGCTGATATGGGTACTCTCGAGGCGCAGAATTTTGGCGTCGAGCAGGCTGCAGGATGCACATCTGCTTGGTGGAATGATTCTCGAGTTCTGGACAGCCATCTCCGGTGGCCAATACTGCATAATGCATGATGCACGAAGATGCCATCTAAATCGCAGGGTATTTTCTATACTCCGTAAAAGCTGGTGAGACATATATTTCTGTGCTATTTCTTGGAGTGAACCGAACCCCATCCGCATCTCACGTTCTTTCCGGCATCGCCTTTAGTCTCGGTGTTCTCTGCTAATTTGGTGCTTGGTACGCCGTGCCGTGCGGCCTATACCAGCACTTCCATAGTTATAGTAACTAATAAAATGACCAATATATGTTAGACATCTGATGTCGGGCGTGTGAACTGAGCAGTACTGCCTAGTAATACCCGATTCTAAGCAACGGCATGGCATCTAGATGATGCGTTTCAACCTTATGAATATATTGGATGTTCACGTCAAGCCATCTGGATGAAACATAAGGATCATCAATCAGTTCTGGCAAACTCCCACTTGTGTGAGGTTCTCACAGCGCCCTTTTCTTTTCTTCGTTACTTTTGAGGTAAATTTCAGCCATCGCGCGTAGAGGCTCCCGTTATCGTATAGACAGGGCGCTAGGCCATGCAAGATAGCCTCAGGCCTTGCAGTCAGGACAGGCACACAGGGTTTCTGTCACAAAATGCCAAAGTGGCTGCTCGGCCTAGGCATATCTTTACCGATGCACGGAGCAGACCGAGGATAAATTCTCCTCCCCGAGACAGAAAAAAAGCCCTGAAACTCCCACGTAATGAATACCTACTAGAACACTGATGCCGCATATTTTTTAACCCCTTTAGGTGTCACGATGGAAGGAGGTGGATGTTCTGGCCGGCAAGCCACCCGTATCCGTTGCGCCCACGACGCTGCCTATTGGATGGCTATATTTTCTGGTTTCACACCCGACTGGCCCACCCCATTGTTGTTATGGATATGTGAGCTTGTTCTATATATACGGATACAGAACTTTGGGGATGGCGCCCTTTGGGTCTTGCTTTTCGCCTCTTTCTCGATCTATCTGACAAGCAAGATGTGGCTTATTCAAATTAGCGAGATGGCCTTCTGGAATCGAAGCATTTTAGGTTCTTAACGGCAGGTAGTTATATCTACCTGAACTAAAAACGAAATCATTCTTGCGAAAAGCTACAAAGTAAACGACAAAGCAGGATCTTCGTACGTACCCACGACAGCGCCCCTGAAAATTTATCAACATCCTTCGCTTCCCTGCATGCTCTGCCAATGAACCTCCAGGTCGCTATTGGTCCCTCGAATGTCATTGAACTTTAATAAAGAGACGATGCAAATCTTGCAGGGCTTGTTCCCCTAAGTGGTCGAGGGCGTTCAGCATTTTTGCCCAGAATGAAAGCTTGGAGTGCATGCTCTTCGTTAAAAAAAAGCCACGATTTTGGGTTAAGATTGCTGTTGACTGTAGTAAGATAGTTAGGTAGCCTGGCAACCCTGGGGGAACGTTGTCTTTACATCCCAAGATGGACTAATTAGTTATCCCCCTGGGTGAACAGCCAATCCTTACCGGACGGATGCTCTCAAAGCTTGCACATACGGGGTGCTGGGGAAAGGGGATAAAGTGTCTAGGTTCAATACAAATATATATTATATTCCAATCGCCCTGTCACGGATATTGTCCACATGCATGAAAATTCCAGTGGACTGGGTTAGGCCGGAAACCTGACTGCTTATCCAACAGCTTAGCAAGTGAGGAACAGGAAAGAGAGTGGATATTTAACGTACTGTCGTGGCCTCTCCCACACAATATTCGATATATCGCCCACAACCATGACTGCCCTGGACACTTCATATGCAAGCGGTTTCCAGAAGGAAACGTGGACCTTATATTCCTTTGGAATCTTGGTCTTGGTCTTACGAACGTGAGCTCTCCCATGGATAGCGCCTCATCTCTTAGACTTATCATGGACTGACGTATAGGGTGATTTTGTTGCGGTTGGCAGAATTGCTCGAGTGAGACGACTCGGACTGGGTTCGCTACAGTATGACGATTATCTGATGATCACAGGAGGCATATGGTACACATTGCTATGCATCTCCCTAAATCAAGTGGTCGCTGTTGGCGGTTCCAATTTGATGGATGAAGAGGACATACGGAATCTCACTCCGGAGATCAAGGCACAGCGTGTCAAGGGGAGCAAATGGGTGTTTGTTTCAGAACATGCGTTCGTGATGACTATTTGGACGTTGAAAGCATGCATGATCATATTATACCGCCGCATCATGTAAGGATCTGCTTTGCTGCGTTTGTCGAATGGATGGGTCAGATTTTGCTAACCGCGCTTGTTTCGATAACCAGGGACGGATTAAGCCAACAGCGCCTTGTGAAATATCTCACCATCTGGGTTTTCCTGGGATTCGTTGGTTCAGAGCTGGCTCTCTTCTTAATATGCCGACCTCTACCGAACTATTGGGCTGTTCCCACACCAGACTGTCAGTTCAATCTCGATAATAACCCACAGTAATATTGCGCAAAGATACTAAGACATTGTGACTAGATCAATGCTCGTCCTACCAATACTATGAGATCATTCAGGGTGTTCTCGCGATTTCATCCGACATTCTCATGCTGCTCATCGCTATTCCACTCCTGATGGCTGTGCGGCTACCCCAAAAACAGAAATTGATCCTAGTTTTCATTTTTGGCCTGGGTATTTTCATCATCATTGCGGCGGTCTTGACAAAGGTATACTGTCTGGTACCATCCCTGATCTCCTATGTGTACCTGAACTGGTACTTTAGAGAAGCGACCGTCGCAATGCTTGTCACTTGTCTCCCCATGACATGGTCATTGTTAAGGGACATATTCCCCGCTCTTAAGAGCTGGACAGGCGGATCGCGACAATATGGAACAGGAAAAGGAACATCGGGACGCAGAACAGGGTCTCGTCCCCCTTTCCAGTCGACCAAGGACCACATGCAATTGAACTCCTTCAGCCGGGGCCACTTATCCCACGGGAACACCACTGAAAGTGAAATAGCGTACGAATCCAGCCATGGACTCCCACATGGCCATGACACCAAGTATCAAGATGACGCTGAGCCCTTGAAATCAATACATGTCCGCCAGGATGTTACCGTGACGGTACAAGATGAGCGGGACAGCGATGAGACACTTTCGAGCAGTTATCCCAGACATCAACGTAAGGCAGCAGGCTGGGATCTGGCGTGATTCCTCTCATAATATATGAAGCCGCCTGCTTGGTGATTTTCAACAAATTTATACCCTGATTAAGAGGAGAGTTATGGCGTTTGTTTGCTTGTTGGTCGCGATGGTTTCGTTGGGCTCACGATTCCGGTGGTATTTTCTTCCTTGTGGATAATATAATGATGAATATATAAAGGACTTTAATGGAGTTTAAGAGTTTTTCGCTCCCCGGCAACGATATTTAGTAGTAGTAGTAGTAGTAGTTGTCGACATCTTTTTGACCTGATGTTCGGAGGACTTGATATCGGTAATTTTGGACGGTAAACATGTATCATGAGGTACAGATATTTGCCATGTAGTTTGCTTCCTATTGGTGGTCCGTGGCAAGCTTAGTATAATCTCGTATCATAATTAATAAGCAAAAGTTACATATCGCTAGTCCAATATTGCAAAGATATTGCTTAGTCATTTGGTCCATATCATGTGATAGGGATATTACAGAAAAACTTTCATGTGAGATTGCTGTTTAGTCATGGCCAATGAACATTCATGCCCGTTGAAATAAGGTTATCAAGCCCGAATCCCCCGATACTCATTTGATCGACGGAGTCAATTATGTTTTGTGCTGTGCTGAGTACGAGAAGCAAAGGAGTCGTATGGAATACGGAGTACTTAAAGGTACGATCATTCTTCCTTCGATGGGGTCAGGATGGACAGCGCGAGTTTAATCATGACCAGACCACCTAATCCGGGTAGAAAATGCCGAGAAATTTGATCCAAACTTTCATCCTATTGTAAGTAGACCCAAGAGAAGCAAGAAGGCCTGCATGACAGCTACTCGGTGCCTGACCTGTCGTGGCCAGGCAGAAGCATCTATAGTTCACAGTTACGGAGTTTTGGAAAGGGGATCAAACCTAACTGACTCCTTTCTAGTCCCAGCCATATGGTTCGCACGCCGGTAGGCCAATACCAATAGATAAGACAGTTTGAGGATCATACTCCTGAGGGTTCTTTCAATAAAAGCCTTCCCTGATTTTTAAATCCTCGGAACCAAAAAGTACCTTGCACTTTGACTAGGAATATGATGCTGGAATTGATTGTGTCAAGGCACATATGGGCAAAGTACGTACAACGACGACGTGCCAATTCTGCTCAATGTACTCCGTACGCAGCGTAATAAAACTCTTCCCGGGCCTTCAACCAGATATAGCACATGGATGTCAATATCGGTGATAATAAGGGCATGCTGGCTTCCCCGAAATATTGAGAACAGCCCTGTTCACTTCCCTTCCTGTGTAACCTTAAGCCGGCACAACCCCTGCGCATGAATAGGGATAAACCAGGACGTGTCGGGGAAGCCTCCTTTTTCTTCCCCGATAGAAAATTCCGCGATTTGTTCACTTGTTCCTGGGCGATCTCAGCCGAAAGGAAGAATGTTTATCAGAGAAAAAGTCGTATCGTGGGATCTGGCGCCGATCATTATCAGGGAAAAAAATGGCTACCACGTGTATATAGAGCAGCATATCTTCCATGTTTATTCTCTTCTTCCGAGATTTGGCAACTGTTTGCTTGATACCCGTCTCTTCGCATCGCTTCATACTCCTTTTCAAGAAGGGAGGACACAACAGGCATTATCGCTGTCCAGAGTTCAGATCTGGAATATGGACTCCGAAGAGGGGGTTAGTCAGCTCGGATACCCGCACACACTCACTAGAGCCGGGCGTCCTCTTTCGACATCTCCGCTAGCCTTCTCCATTTCGAGGGGAGCAGGGAAGGAGAGTACTGTGCTGGAGTATAGCAGACGGGACTTATAGGGATTGTCCAATCCCTCTCCCCTGCTTAACGACGGAGGATCTAACCAGATGCGGGCGCCGACAGGCACGACTTGTGTCTGCCTCCCAGCTTACTGCTGCGTTTGCAAGGGTAAGCGGTGATGCGCCTTGGAATTGAGGAGGAAGACAGCAAACAAGAAGAAAGAAGTAAAGAAGTTAATCAAAAAGAAGCGGCTCTGCGCGAAAATCGTGCTCGGACCATTCGGGATAAGGTTATTCCCTTCCTTCTCCCGAAAGAGCGAAAAGTGGGTCCAGCGCCCCGACGCCCTTTTAACGACTTCGACATCAGACAAATAACGTGTCAATCAACAACAATAATGGCTTGACAGAGGTAACAAAGGCACCAACCAACAGCAGTCCCTGCTACGGTGTCAACAGCAAGAATATAACGATGTTGATAATAACACACAGCAACTAGAAAAGTGGGTTGGATGTGGGTTGCTATTATTGGACCGCCAACAGCAATATACCCCTGGTCGTTACCAGACTTGCGGAAAGCGAGTGCCATAGAGGATGGCCTTTAGCGAACGAAACAAGCTGGTGATAGGCTAGCCTCGCTGTGCAGGGCCATTGGCTTCCGCTACTGATGGTAGATATAGCCATGCCTGGTAGGGAAAACAGCGTAACGTCGTGCTCTTGTTGCCTGCTCTCCTGCAATGCAACCTTCCGTGCCTGACATCATTTGCAACCTTGCTGCTATCCGTGTTCTTCGGATTATGATGTGGGACATGGTGCCTGGTGCCTGGCGAGCCGCCGCTGATGTACTCCGCTCATGACATCTCAGTCTAACGAGTACACTATCCGTTTCGAGTCAGTTGGTCCACAGGACCCTCAAACTAGGTCGGAATTTGAATACTTGCATATCGGTTGGGGCTTAGTTGCCTCAAGAAACTGTTATACCAATTGTGATAATAACCCACCTGATATCCAACGGTCAAATTTCAACGGCAAATTTCTCTAGGTTTTATGCCGAGTAACGCCATTGCCTCGTGATCGCTGCTCCCTGGTGTATTACCATCGCAGCATGGAAATTCGTGCATGGAATGTTTAATTTCACGCTCCCGTCGGGGATTCCCCTGAAAGTGATGCCGTTCAACGTGGTGGTACAGGTTCTGTCCACATCAACTCATACCCATGTTACTATTATTCTCCTACCCGTGAGTCCCTCGACACAGCGAGAATGGGTCGGAGGCTCAATTCGGAAATTCCCACTTGGCTGCAAACTCACGATCTGAGAGTTTGCCTTGGCAAATTTCTCGCTAGATATAACATAGCCATTGTGTCGCAGCTTACTTGCCAATGGCTTTTTATCCATCTGTTGTCGTTTGGCCCTATCCAACTTCGCAGGCATTTGGCCCGCATCCATTCATTGCAGTCAATCTTGACTTTACACTCGTTGCATTGAGGCTGTGTTCTCAGTGTCATCCCGGCTACTGAGTCTTGAGCCTTTCGTTATTCCAATATATATATATATATATATATACACTCCTTTCTGCTGTATATCTCCCGTCTTTCAAAATTCAACAGTCACTCGTTCGACATGGCTCTTCCCAAGACAATCATGGCATTCATTGCCTTTATATCTTTTCTCGTTTCTACTACTTTTGCTGTGGATGTGTTCTCTACCACTAACGTCGTCACGTACTGGGTAAACTACGACCTTCTACCCCGAATACCGAATCTTACTAAGTATATATGCATCTACAGGGCCAGGGCCACGACCAAAAACGTCTCTCGCACTATTGTCAACAGGCTGAACATGATATAATTGTTATTGGCTTTGTTAATGTTTTTCCTGACCAAGGCAAAGGTGGCTGGCCAGGAACAAACTTTGGAAACCAATGCTTCATGGGCACCTATATAACACCAGAGGGGGAAGAAACGGAGCTTCTCAGCTCATGCCACAAAATTATAGAGGATATACCCATTTGCAAGGCAGCAGGGAAGACTATTATGCTTTCTCTAGGCGGCCAAGCCGTGGATGGCTCCAAGACATACAGCGTCAAGACCAGACAATCTGCTGTTTACTTTGCAGACTTCCTTTGGCGCGCCTTTGGACCCGTATCTCCTGAGTGGGATGGCCCTCGGCCCTTCGGCGATAATGTCATAGATGGATTTGATTTCGATATTGAAGCTAACGGTGGCGCAAGTATGTCCAGATCCCCTTCACACCACCCGTTTATCTTGACTTTCTACTGACTGCTTTACCTCTTAGACTACGAGTACATGGTCGAGCGTCTGCGAAGCAACTTCGCTACCGACTCATCCAGACAGTACTACCTATCCGCCGCTCCTCAGTGCGTTCTCCCTGATGGAAACCTCGGCAACGTCATCAGTAGCTCAGCTTTCGACTTTATTTTCGTCCAGTTTTACAACACACCCAGTTGTTCCGCCTTTAACTGGGCTCAAAACCCCTCCAAATCCGGATTTACCTTCGACTCATGGGTTCAGTTCATCCGTAAGGGCGCAAGCCGCAATGCAAAACTCTTCATTGGCCTTGTTGGTGACCACACCAGGGTCTCGCCGCACGGAGAATATACCAAGGACGACAGTAATTACCTCGCTCTCCCAGATGCCGACAAGCTCATCAAGGCATACATGAACAAATATCGTGCCAACTTCGGTGGCGTTATGATCTGGGATGCTCTAACTTCAGATGAAAACAAGCTCGTCACAGGAACCTATTCTTCAAATATTAAAAGATTACTACTTAACAACGACCCTTCTCGACCAACAACCACCTCCAAGACCATGAGCAGTACGAAGACTTCTATGTCCACGACTACTTCGAAATATACGGTAACCACCAGCACTATCTCTTCAACTTCAAAGATTTCTTCATCCACTTGGTCTATGCCTACAATGACTACCTCCACTAGGACTACTTCGTCTACAGCAACAAGATCTTCCACCATAGTCACACCGTCAACAAGCCCCAACCCTACCACATCTACTTCTACCACCTCCGGGCACCAAAACACCACAGCTACAACCACCGAAATTGAGACCCAGACAAGCAAAACCTTCATTACTACCACCAGTATCTGGAGCTCTGGGACCGGAATTGGCACTTGTACTGGGATCCCAACGATCACCACCACCCCAAGATACCCAAACGCTACCTTCACTAGCGACACTACGGGTAGTCCCACGATGTCCGATACTACTATCACGCTCAGCGTCACCTCTTCTATGCATCAAATTTCTGATACAACTACGACTATTCCAACCTTTTCTACGACGCCTATCCAAACATCGGACATCAGCCTTTCTATGCCAAGCGGAACAACAACTTCTAAGCATCAATCATCCGGAATAACCATACCTGGCCCACCCCATATGTCTACGACCATAGTCCCTGCTTCACCGACTAAGCCTGGACATTCTACAACGACAGCCATCGTTACTACTACATTCACCTCCGTCTGCCCTACTGGAATTACTACTGTCACAACAACTTACACCACAATCTACTGCCCAGAAGCAACTCCTATGCCGACAGCTGGTAACCCTCCACCGCCTCCTGGGATGGAATGGACCACTATAGTCACCACTTGTACCAAATGTGCTTCCACCTCGGCAATTATGACAGTCACCTACCCAGTCACAGTCCCATCGGAGCCCATGACTCCAACACAAGTGCCGGGGACACTGCCCCCACCAGGAGCACCAGGTACTGGCTCTGGAATTCCACCACCAAAAACTCCTAGCAACGAGCCAGGAAGCCCAGGCACTCTAACTGGCATTTTCCCTCCAAAGCCAACCATGTCAGTTCCCCCAGAAATGGGTGGCAATGGTGGAGATAGAACCCCAGTTTACACTGGTGGAGCTGGAGTCGTGTCGCCATCATTCTCGGTCGTTGTTATAGTGTTGGGTTCAATTGTATATCACATTATGCAATAACGCTATGGATTAACCCAGGGCTTGGCTGGATTGATGGATGGAGATGTAGCTGATCGAGATGTTTTCCCTTTTCTTCTCTTCTGATTACAACTTTTCTGGTTTTTGAACGTTGGATGGACGATGAATAATTTCACTCATTATATACATATATGTTGTGTTACGTGCTTTCTACCTCAACCTTGCAATAAAATAACTAATTCTACGTATTTTTGGCTGGCATGATTTTCCTTCGACCTCAATTCCAAGGGCATCTCTCTAATGGTGCTGCTCAATATCGCAGTCCTCTCTCGATGGCCCATAACTTGCCTACTCCTCAGAACGTGCGGAACCCATAAGCTACGGCCAATCTCTCGTTCTCCCCACCACGTTGAAAGCGGAAAGGCCAATAAAATATTTTCCCACCCTTTACCGGCAAATCGCCCCGAGAAGAACTAACAGTTAAGCTTAACTTTCCTTTTTTTCGCCTCCCGTGGAACCGCTTGGGTACATTAACGTGCAGTAACTGTTTTGTACCGATGGATATCTTCGGGATCGAGATAACCTTTCATCGAGCCATCACTCATCAATGGGTTGTGGTTCGGCGTATCATGCTGCTACTGGCATATGAAGACGCTTAATGTCATGGGTGTGAGGAAAAAAACTTGCCTTTAGCCGGCTTGGCTGTAGCGATGAGATACTTTGCCGGGCCGCGTTACGGCTATCGGTCATGATGCGTAGTTAAACATTTCCAACTTGAAAGGCGATAAGAAAAATGCAACATCGACCATTCGCACAGTTAAATGGGCGTTGATATAGGAAGTGTGACGATGCGTCATTATTGGCCTAGACAACTGAAGCCGTTGGTTGAATTGGTGGATTTGGCTAACTAACTAGTTTCTAGACTCCGTTCGCGCATGGAGCCCTGTGGGTCGGCGGAGAGTCAGCTCGAATTTGTGTAAGAAATGTCTCATGGGAAATAAAGGAGAAGAGTACTCATGTGTAACGGAGTTCTCCTTATTTTTCTAATAATTCAAAATAACAGGTACAAGTCTAATTTCAGGAACGAAAAAACCAAATATCAAACGAAAAAGTAGGTATCAAAATTGATAAGTGAAAGAATCAGAGGTTAAAAGGTATGTACAATCTATCCAGAAACAGCGAAAAAATGACCACCTTCCAAAAAGAATCACTGGATATATATTAGCGAGGGTGAGGGAAGGTGGAGGCCCGCTCGACATGAATAATCAGAAATATTGTCTCTTCTCACTCCCAGCTCCGATTCCACCGCACATTTCCCCATTCGTAGCCAAGTTTTTGACAGACATGGCGTTAAGTGGCATGCATCCCGGGAAACAGAGACGAGCGCTTTTTTTTGGGTTTTTAGATGACACATCAGTTGGTAGAAGATAGCTGTCGCCGAGTTGTTTAGATGTAAGGAGTTGGGATGGCGGTTGGGAAGTGGTAGGTGCCGGATGGAGCGACGGTGTCGGTGACAGTGCCGGTTGGGTAAGGCAGAGTGCCAGTTCCGGTTGGGATTGGGATTCCAGTGCCGGTGCCGGTAGGCATAGGGACGCCAGTACCAGTTCCAGTAGGCGTAGGGACGCCAGTGCCGGTTCCAGTAGGAATGACAGTGAAGGTGGTGCCAGTTCCGGTTGGGACACCGGTGGCAGTTGGCAATGGCAGATCAGTGCTGCTCGAGAAGTTGAACATGTCGAACCAGTTGAAAGGTCTGGCGGAGACGGCGCTGGCAAGGCCAAGGAGGATGACGGCGGAGAACTGCATTTTGATGAAGAGGGATGGTGCTTTTATTTTTATTTTGTTTTTTTTTTATTTTCGGCTGTTCCTGGATTAATATTTGCACTGGAAGAGAAAGAAGAAAAGAATGAATGGACCTTTTGATAGAGGTGAAGCCTGTTCAACTATATCATCAGAAAGGAGATAGACGAGAGAAAAAGGGCAGCCAAGGGAGGGAATGGGGAGGTTATTATATAGACCGAAAGGAATATACTATAGAGCTCCCCGGGAGGCCAGGGGGAGTGGGTATAGTAGCTTGTGGACCACACAGGGTACCTGATATAAGTCCAGGGCAAACTCCTCTGATAGGACCAGATATCTGAGTATGGGAGCACCGTGGAGGCTGACTCGTCATGGCAAGCCCTGCGCGCCCATAACCATAACCAACTGGAGGAGCCGTGGTTACTTTGACTTAAAGTTGGGTGGGGGTACGGAACTTTTGACCAAAACGCGCAGCCTCGAGTCGAAGGCCATGGTAGCTCCGTTCAAAAGAAAGAAGATTGCGAAGATCTTCTTATCACAGACCACGGCTGGGGGATTCGTAAGTGAGAGGAGGCCAGAAATTGCCTGCTCCTGTGAGTAGTCTTGCCTACAGCCCCACAGGAGGAGGAGCAATCAGAAGGCGTCAACCACCAATCCTTTAATGGAGCATTAATGTGTCTATTAGAATCGTGCAATATCCCGTCATCAAAGACACCTGCTTGCCTCTTCCTGGCCGAATAGGCATGCGCAAAGAGTTATGGACGTCTGACACAGCAATGCAAGGCCGGATGTCAGCAGATAAGTGTGAATACGCGGTGACGCAGCCGACTCCGCACCACTACGGTCCCATGCTTGGAGTGAATATTCAGATCAAAGAAGCCACCCTGGGCCTCTGCATGCTGCAGATTATTATTATTTTCATCGGGCCAACAATCAACCACTCCTTGGGCCTGCGGTATGTCCGTGTCCAAGCAGAAACGCTGACAGGATTGGTCCTGGTTCCTGGTTCCTGGGGGGGGGGGGGGTTCGCCGGCCGATCAGCTCGTCTTTCTTCTGGACGATACGGGGAGATTGGACGGCGCAAGCTTTGGAAAGGCGAAAGAAGAGGCGTGATCCTTGCTGTGCAGCAGAAGATCACTGCTCTCGGTGCAGTTTTATGTCCACCATTCGCCAGCGCCTTTTGTGCTCGTCGCCGCGCCGACTTTGCATGAGGTTGACAAATTGACGTTCGTGACGATGAAACAAGGAGGCCAAAGGCGGTGGAGCAGCCGCGCTTGGCAGAATTCTTTCACTTCTTCCGCCGACTTCAACTTCAACTTCAACTTCCAGCGACAATACATCAAATAGTTATGCAGGCAGCAGCTGCGCCGGCTGCCGACGAGGGCGGACACCTTGCCAGTACGTGCCCGTCGCGGTGGGTAGGATGAGCGTGTGGAATCCTCAGCCCGGGCGAAGAGATTCTCGAGGATCGTCTCTTGGAGTGGTACTTCACAGCGCACGCCATGGCAAGGCAAACCGGACCCCAAACCCGCGGTAGGCTTCGGAGGATAATGTCAGCGCAGGATTACTGGATGGGTGACTTGATGATGGCTGTCGGGTACCTCCCAACGAGCAGCAAGCAGCAGATCCCGCCATTAACTCACGTCTCGTCCAGGAACGGGACAGGCTACTGCTATGTCTGACTCGTCGAATCCAAGGCAGTCTCCGCAGCAGATCTGCAAACATCCTGATGATCTTTCTGTTAATATTCCTTGTCATCATTCGGGATACGACCACTTGGAACAGAGCAGAGGGAGTAAGAAACCTTGGAGAACTGGAGAACAGATAGGAAAAGAAAAAAATCCGAGAGATCTCGAGGCTGTTGTCCTACATGATATACATGAGCCCAGGAGGCTGAGTTTTCTTTTTATATCGTCGGCTCACAACCGTTTTGAGTGGTTCCTCAAGGCTTGCGCCTTGCGCGCGTGTATTCGGCCGTGAGACAGCCACTTTCCATACTTAGTCGCGCGCGCCGAGGTTTAATAAACCTGGCCACTTCTCCTTCAATATTAAGGCTTTTGGCGTGATGCTGGCGGGGGTTAAGTTTCCTTTTCTCCTGACATTTAGACAGCCGGACAGGCAGGCTTGAGAAACAACCGGCAAACTTATGCAGAGAGCGGCATGATTCGTTTTTTTAAGGATGAGATATGGTTGCATCCGCGGCCCGGACAGAGTTTGAATAGGTTGTTTCTCCCCGTTTTATCCCCACACTCACGAACATTCGCAGGACGTTCGATGATATTATTCTCAGATAACGGCTGGTATTTAGCGGCAACTAGTTATCTCGTCGAACACCACGGCATTGAGTTCCTTGAAGGGCAGCAATGCATTGCTTCACGCCCGGAGTCCACAATTGAAGTATATTCTAATATTGCTCTTAATATGTGCTGATGATATCTATACATGGTCACCCCTGCCCATCCACATGCGTCTCTTCATTAAAACGCCGGATATGACCTACAGGCCGTTCAGTCTCCTCTGTATGTGGGAAAGAAAAATTCGATTGCGGGTTTCCACTCACTTTTAGACATTATTTGGGGCCATATCGGATGAATGACGCGTTAAGAGGCTCCATCACCCTTCTCGTCGGATACGGAGTTACATGATCCTAATATTAGAATCAGGTAGTACGAGCAGCATGCCCAGTGTACAAAATGAATTATTATGCGTGAAGGCACAATCGAGATAAGTCAAGAGGATAGGCGTCTTTTCTCCAATGGTCCTCATTCGTATATCTCGAGGCTACCTACGGCTCATCTGGTCCGCGGTGCTTGGTTATTCGCCGGGTTTGCCAGGGGAGTGTTGGAATCACCACGGGTTCTGCTGATCATAGCTAGGGTTGGCTTCCGGGAAGTCAGGTAAAAGTAAGAGGGAAAAAATATAGTAAAATACGCGGATAACATCTCTGCTGTCCGTTCGACCGGTGTATGGGATGGTGGTATATAAGATTCTTCAATGAGGATCCCTGCACCACAGCTTCTTTGCTCCTTTCATTTAGTCGTGATTCATACTTGCCCGCTCATCAGCCCTTCTCTACAGCCAGTTTAGGACACTTTGTCCGTCCGCCTCTTCCCCGTGTGGCACCTCCTCGCTTTCGTTTCTCACTATTTGCTTGACTTGTATCTCCAGAAGCTTGTTTTTCTTCATTGTGTTGCTGCTTCCCACTTGATGGAATCACAATCTCCACACAGAACATGCGCAAGTTGGAGTCGATAATGCTGGACATTATCGGATTGCTGGGCAATGCTTGTTCGCTGACGCCCTTCTTTACCTCCTGGTCTTTCTTTTCTTCCCCATATTTCTTCTCCGTTTGAGCAACTATTTCTGGTTTCTTCACATGCTCTTGCTCTTGTCTCTCTTCCTCCTTCGCCCTAGCTTCCGTCTTTTCATCCTCCTGCTCATCTTCTTTTCGGGATTCCCGAGGCTTCGTACGGACCCGCCTTAACCTCGTGCTCTTGAGGGTAAGCTGCCTGTATTTCGGAGGTCGTCCTTTCTCTGCCGTTATCTTTGCAGGAATTGCTGCAGGTAATGTAATATCCTTCGGCTCAGCGGCTTCGCCAGATTCGCGGGGTTTCATCCCGATGCATGGCTGGGAGTTAACTTTGTCAACCCACTCCATAATGTGTGCCGTCTTTTCGGCAGTCAGATAGCGTCGCATGGCCGACATTTTGCTCATAATGACTTTATCCCCACACAAAAGAAAGTCAATAGGGAACAGATAACGGATAAAATGAGCGTGGAAAAACAGTGCTCTGCGAAGATCATCGAAGATGCAGGATAAGAAATTTGAGGCTTGCTATCATGTCAGTGCCGGCGGAGAGCTAGGTATTGAGGGGTAAACTGCTGTGCCACGGGTAAACTGCAGCATCGCATGAAAAATGACAAACGAGTGAACGCTGCAAATGAACGTAGCAGAAAAGAATTGAATGGCTGTCGTGAAGTGAGGTTGTTTAAGCGTCTTGAGACGTTCGAGTCTCGGAAATGTCATCGAAGCGCGTGCCGCAAGTTAAACGCGACGTCACATGGCACAAGCGCGTCTCCCTAAACAATGACATCACCCTCCCCCTTACCCCTTTTTGGCGACGTTTTTATACTTACTTATTCTATTTACTCCTTTTTTCTGCTAAAGGATATTCGAAACGAAGATAAATAGGAAAGTGGGTTGATGCCGGATTCATTACACTATATACGTATTACTAAGGGGTTATGTGCAGAAGACATCAATAGGAAATGCACCACAACAGCCTTCCCTGGCCAGATAAACGCCTCGACTTGATAAAATGATAAAATGATAAAACGCTCAAAACCGCAAGTCATGAAGACATCAAATGAGAAAGCAAACAAGAGGTCTATGTAAGCAATCCTTTTATACCTTCACAGTCAAGAGAAAACCAAATGAAAGTTAACTTTTCAGTCCCAATGGCGTCGTATGATAGGCTTTGCTGGATCCCAGGGCCCGATGACGACATTTTTATACCGCTGCAGACTGATAAGCCACCAGCTACAACAGCCCATTATCAAGGCTGTTGATGGGCTGCCTATGAGGATACCAATGATGGCACCCGAAAGACCCCCTCTCAGCGTGATGCCAACAGATGCACTGGCCAACAGAACCAAGGCCACGGTGAGAGCCACATGTCCGCGCCACGAGTAAGACCGTAAATGGCGACGAAAGACAGGAAAGAGTCCAAAAACTTCTATTGAGAAGAGGGTAAGGCTGAAGACGTGAGAAGTAGACTTTAGGCGAGACGCGAGCACGGTGGATGCCATCAGAGCTGCATTGGTGGAAAGAGAGGCGGGAAAGTTGGCAGTAGCAGCACCGCCAACGGGGGTATTTTTCTCGCCAGATCCGTAATCAAAGAAAAAGATGTTGATGGCCATTAGCCAGCAGCTCATGGCCCAGATTGAGTCGCTGGTTGTTGATTTGGTGAGTGATTTAAGTATGGGGCTAAGGCCGCGCAAGGTGCAGAATATTAATAGGGCGGATTTCACGGTGGTGAACATTTGTCGGTGTCGTGATGCTATAAACGCTGCAGTTGGCGAGAATGCTTGTAGTGGTGATGGTGGAGTAGTTGCACCAGAGGACTTGGTGCAAGAGGTGTCTGACTTGGACCCGAGTGCGCAGTCCGCAGGGTTAATCGAAACCGGGGACAGTGAGAGAGTAGCAGATTGATCTGAGTGCAAAGACGTTGCGGAGGTGCTGATGGAGTGAGAGCGTGTTCCTGAACCCGAATCCGAGCCTTCTCTGCTGGGTACGCTACCGACACTAGACGTATCCAGCGACAGTCCAAGACCACCGTTCACGTCGTTTTCCTTCCCATCCAAGCTCTCCGAGTTGCTGCAGCTGGATGTAGAGTGGTTACGAGCAGCTCCACCAGACTCCTTCAGTAGCTTCATAGCTTCCATGGCCTCTGCGGCTTCCATACCCTCCTTTGCAACCCAGTAGTCCCAGAGTACCCAGCCGAGGACGGTGCAAATACTTCCCCAGCTGACCACAGTTATCGGGTTGACACGCTCCTGGAAGATGACAGTAAAACAGCAGACGAATATAATAACGGAGCAGACATGCTGTACGATGACGGTGAAATCAGCCACCAACGGCCAGAAATCATACGGCTGGAGCCGCGGGTTTCGCTGTAAATGATCGAGAAAGGTCTCAGTGTCCGTGTAGTTATCAGGATCTATATCAAAATAATCCGTTAGTATACCCGGTTCTTTGGAATCTAGCTGAAGGGCTTCGGGGCGTCATACAAGACTGCTTGACCCATAAAAGCTTCTTCCACTGTCCCTTTCTTTTGCGACGACCTCGATCTCTCCGGCGATCCTTGACAGGGTTCGACTCCAATCCAGGCACCGCAGGCGGAATCCTCAAGGCCGCTACCGCCGCTGGAGTCGCAACACTCCTGTTGAGTAGCCGCGCGGTCTCGTTCGTGGTATTTCCGCCATCTCTCCTGGCGCCTGCAGCTACGTTCCCCGGACGTAGCCTCGGAGGCGAAGTGAAATAAGCGTCTTCCGGCGCAAGCCTGTTTGGATCCGGCGAGATGTGTCGTACAGGCCGAGATTTGATACCAGCGCGATTCGGATGTGTCTCGACGGGGACTGGGGGCGGGACGGGAGCAGCGAGCGTAGGTGGTGAGTTCGGCGGCTGCTGCGACTTGAGCGAGGGAGTCGACGGGCGAGGCGAGCGGCTGCTAGCCATGACAGGCTCCAGGGGAGAGCGGAGATGCAGTTCGTCACCGTCTGCTCATGGCATGGCTGTCGACAAGAGCAAGTCCTTCAACTGTCTGTCTATCTGTCTGTCTGTCTCTCTGTCTGGTTGTCTTTTCCGTCTTGCCTGCAGCTTTTTCGCCCCGACGTGAAGTTCTTGATATTTCCCGATTGGGGCAAACGTCATAGTCACGTGATGCTATCAAATTAAATCTCCTTATTCTTTGGCTGTCGATCGTTGCTGATAGCGAGCGGACGGGGCTGGGGATGGAGATAGGGATGGAGATGGGCTGTGGATAAGGGGGGCCTATGGAGCGATGGAAGAGATAGATGATGTATATTTATACACGAGACGTATATATCTATAGAGCCTAACTGGGCTAAACTATGTCTCTACGGAGGAAACTGGGTATGGATAAAAAGGGGCTGGCGAGCACGAGGGCGGCATGGATGCCAATCCCAATCTAGCCGGATAATCCTTCTCTCTGGTTGAAGCGGGCTGCTGTGGCATTTTCGACACTGTTTCTGCGACCCCAATGTTGTGGCTGGCGCTTGAGGAACGCCCCGACGGCACCCAGGTAGCCCTCATGGCGCAGGAAGTAGGCCTGCTTCTCTCCCTTGGACCAAAATCTAATAGCGTAGGAAAGGGTGTTCATGGTCTGGCGGTGGCCACGGATGAATGAGCCTCCAAAGTATATGTGTTTGATCTTGTGTTTTTCAGATTGTAGATATGCGATTTGCCCGATATTATTACTGCTGCTGTTAGTTGACCTGCTGACTGGAATAAGGACTCTTTTGAAGCACACGCACCTTATAGCAAATAAAAGACTCTGGCTCATGTCTTCGTGGGAGAAATGAGAAATGTCCTGCTCTGAAGTCGGCGATTCGCTGCCGCTACTTTCAGCATTCCTTTCCTCCAGCCGCTTCAGCTTGAGGACCTTGCCAAATGTACTAGCAATGGCCGTGCTCTTCAACCCGATCTTGCCGTAGTCTGTGCCGTAGATGTCGCCCACGAGCATGTCGACTCCGCTGTTATCTCCTCGCTCGGCCATGGCTAGCATCTCATCGAACGTTCGAGCACCGGTAAGGAGGGCCATGAGCCCCCAGAACGTCCCTCCACCAAGTGAAGTTCCGCCTACTCGCTCGAACTGTCGAGGACCGGAGACCTTGACCATGGAGACACCGGAGCCTATGTTCACCAGCAGATATGGGTATACGTCCGCCCTGGCCTCTGCAAACTGCATGGGGGTTGTCTCGCTGTATGTAAACACCTCGTTCGGGATCTCCGTTATAAAGAAGTCGAGTCCTACACCCACTCGTTAGCCCGGGGTTCTCTCCAGATCGCATATATGGAAAGAAAGGATCACACCACACACCTATGATCAGGCACTCCATCTCGTCCTCCCTTAGTACGTTAACCCCCAGCGCATCCTTGAGCATGTCGTAGAACTTGTATGCGCCTCCACCGGTAGCCATGACACAGAGCTCGTACGGAGCCGAGCCATTCCTCTTCATATGGTTCTCCTTCAGCTTCTTCAGGAAAGCTATACACAGCTCTATCCGGCTTGTCTCGAAATTTATAAAGTTGAGCCGACCACCGCTGCCAGACTGGCTTATCTCGGGAGAAAAGTAGACGAGCTTCGCCAGGGTTCCGCCAATCTACACAGTCAACATCAGCATTCACTGCCATCACACAGTACCAGGGAGCAGAGCAGACTCACATCGACGGCCACATGGCTGACCACGTCTGTGTGGTGCGGGAGGCGAATATCCTTGTGCTCGTAGTGGACGCCGTCGGCATCGTCGCGCCCATGGGCAGCAGCCCGCTCCTCGTCGTCCAGGATAAAGGCACCCTTGACATTGATCTTGACCGAGCCCGGGTTCGAGATGGTCTCGCGCAGGCGCTCAACAGAGACGTCGTTCTCCGTCTGCGCTCGCCGGCGCCGCGAGGCAGCGGACTCCACACCCGCACAGGATCCTGGCGCGGCAGACATGATGTTTCGGGGGCAGACGGTGGTGCGGTCGCATGGGCATTGAGGCGTCCTGGCTCTGGCTCTGGCTCCGTCCGGGGGTCCCTTTTATTCCTGCTCGCTGGCTCCTCGGGCGGCGTCTTTGTTGCACCTTGGAAGAGGATCCGAGGCTGTCGTGCCCACGCTTACGGCGTAATTCTCCTTCTGCGCCTTTTTTTCCGCCGAGGATCAACTCGACCGCGCTTCCGGATAGTTCACTTAGCCTCCTAGTCAACCACTCCCTACCACCGGCGAACATCGACATCGACTATACCTTATGGCTACTACGGCCTTTCTCTACGAGATAATGCTGTGACTGCGGTGAAGATGGCGGCGACCGTGACTGGGCGGAGTTTCCCTGGCCAAAGACTCGCTTTCTGCGCGGGTGAAAGTGCCTGCCACGGCGCTGGCTGTTGACAGTTTGATACCATGGACGGCGGCAATGCCAGGCTTGAAGAGAACAAACAGCTTCAAGATACCAGCTTCAAGAGTGATACCAGGCTCTCACGATGAAGGGCATCCTGCTGGCGCTGCTTGTCTGCGTGGCAGAGGCGCACATCATCTTCAAGCATGCGCCGCTCTCCTGCGATCCTATCCTGCCGGCATTCCAGGGCTGTCTGCGCGGCCAGCGGTGTTCTCGACACGGGCAATGTGAGAGCAGTCATCGTCCAGAGGATGAGATCCAACCTCCCCAGCTTGATACCACTGTTGAGGTCGTCCAGAGAGACTCGGAGATTCAGTATGCGCCAGGCAAATGCCGTGGAGGCGCCGGTGAAGGAGAGGCTGGCGTAGCGGTAGACTGCTTCATGAAACATCCCTCGCATCCGATTGATGACGGCGATGTGACCCAAAAGGCTGCTCGTCCGTACCTACGAAGGCCCTTCTGGCGTCCTCATTTCCGCCCAAAGCCAACGGTGGATATCACCGGCACTAACAGAGTGAAGCTGCCTGCTTCAACTGCTTCCGCTACTCCCACTAGCACCATTCAACCCCAACCTTCTGAGCCGTCTAGCCCTACCGGAAATGTTACTACTGACGGAACATGCGGCTCAAGCCGTGGAGATACTGTCTGCGGAGACTGGTCATATGGCCCCTGTTGCTCTCCCTATGGCGTACGTACCTCCTCTTTCTACTACTGTTTGTTCGTTCACTGACCAACCGTCCCTAGTTTTGTGGTAACAGCACTGCCCACTGCGGGTTGGGATGCCAGTCTGGCCCATGCATAAACGGGCCTGCGTTGAAACCCATTGCTCCTTTAAGCTATCATCCATTCAAAATTCCCGGAAAGTTCACAACCGTCGGGAGGTCTGGAGTTCCAGCCATGATGGCCATCCTCATGCCTAACGGGAAAGTCGTTTTCGCGGACAAGATCGAGAACTATACGGAACTAATTTTGCCCAATGGACAGTTTGCCTATTCCTCGGAGTACGACCCAGTTACCAACGAAGTTGTAGCCTTAGAATACAAGGTGTGTCCCGGTTCACGCATCTTTCAGTTCCATACTAATAATTGTACAGACGAATGCATTTTGTGCTGGTGGAACCGTTCTAGCTGATGGCCGTGCTCTGTCTGTTGGTGGGAATGGCCCGCTGAACTTCATAGACCCAACCGTCAAAGACGGGTTCAAGGGAATCAGATATCTCGAGCGCAAGTTTGATGACCCAAAGGGTGAAGAAGGATGGATCGAGCCTGGTCACACTCTATCCACCGCCCGCTGGTATCCCTCCGTACAGACTATGCCTGATGGGAAAATATTTGTTGCCTCTGGCAGCTTGAACGGCCTGAACCCGACTAACTCGGACAATAACAACCCCACATATGAAATCCTGGACCGCGAAGGTTATCCCCATGGCGACAGCGTAGTCATGTCTATCTTGGAGAAGAATCAGCCTTACTACATGTACCCTTTCCTTCACCTTCTCAAGGATGGAAACCTCTTCGTCTTTGTTTCAAAGTCTGCCCAGATCTTCAATGTCGAGACGGATACCATTGTCAAGACACTCCCAGACCTTCGTGGTGACTTTAGAACCTATCCGAACACAGGTGGAAGTGTCATGTTCCCTTTAAGTTCTGCCAACGGATGGGATCCTGAAATCATGATATGTGGAGGCGGCGCTTACCCTGACATCAATAGCCCTACCGATGCTAGTTGCGGACGCATAAAGCCCCTGTCTGAGAATCCAACCTGGGAGGTTGAGTCTATGCCTAGTGGAAGGGTCATGGTGGAGGGTACTTTGTTACCAGACGGCACAATCATCTGGTTGAATGGCTGCAGTCGCGGTGCACAAGGATTTGGCATTGCAAAGGACCCAGTATATGACCCCTGGATATATAACCCCCGCGCTTCTAATGTCGAACGCTGGGCCGTGGGTGGGTCAAGCACAATTGCACGCATGTATCACTCCGTCGCCTTACTGTTACTAGATGGAACAGTGATGGTCGCAGGATCAAATCCGGTCGAACAGCCTGTGCTTGTTCCAAACCCCAAGGACCCCAAGACAGCATACGTTACCGAGTTTCGGGTTGAAGTCTACATTCCCCACTATCTCAGCGGCAAGAAAGCGGATCAGCGGCCACTTAATGTTGTTTTGTCCAGCAGACATCTAGTTGCTAACAGTGGAAACTTTACTGTAAAGTTCAACGTCCACAAAGAGGCCATTGAGCTCCAAGTTGTTCTCTACCAGGGTGGATTTGTCACCCACTCACTACACATGGGCCACCGAATGCTTTACCTCGATCATACAGGCTGGAAGGCTGGTCAAAGCGAGCAGGTTGTTGAAGTTACCATGCCTCCTGACTCGAATGTTGCGCCTCCTGGTGCCTACGTTATCTATATTGTTGTGGACGGAGTGCCTAGTATGGGACAGTTTGTCATGGTCGAGAACCCCATGCCGCCTGGTGATAAGCCCAAAGGAGACAAGCTTAATGGAAAGCAGACAGGCACACAGGGGAAGCCGGAAAAGCAGCAGCCCGATAAGCCAGAGGATAACAAGAAGATTGAGAACGGCGGTGACGTGCCCAAGAATGACACAAGCAAAGATGACAAGTTTGACAAAGGCCAAGAGAAACAGGGTACTGATGGTGGAAAGGAGAAGGGCGGTGGAAAGGAAGAGAAAAAAGGCAAGGAAGACGACAAGTACGAGGAAGATGATGATGCCATGGAGGACGAAGACTAGGAAGAGTTTCCTGATCGTATGGGTTTATGTGAATATCGCTTATAGTTGACGAGTCCGAAAACCGAATATGTTACCTCATAAATAAATACTTGACTCTATGAATCGTATGATATAATGAATATCATTTTATCTACCATGTCATTGATTAGTCTTGGAGTCTGGGGTATTGATACCCCTTGATAATGTGTTGGCGCTTGGAAAAGGGGGAACCATGACTAATACTTGTCATACTATTTTTAACTGTATCACATGATTTTAACATGGATGACTAATATAGACTTACCCTTTTTGGGAAATTTACTGCTTATTAATATATTACAGGCAGTCATACACTATATAACCAATCTTACCACATCCAACCAATAAAAAGGCCTGTCTACTTCACCCTCTGATACCAAAAATACAATATAAAATCTTCCAAAAAAGGGGCATCAAAACACAACTACAACTTCATCTTTTTGTATCTTTCCAAGGTCCAACTTTTGCTATTTCATTGAACGAATAACTAGTGGCTGAGATATGGAGATACCAAAGACAGGAAGATATATATGGGTGATGTGGGATTCTTCCATCCCTGCCAACCAGGCTAATACCCGGCTGCAGAGCCACCAGCCGCTCTACCAACTATGGATATCACATATCAGATATCAAATATCAATACCTCCCTATGAGGATGAGCATATCAATTAGAGCATCCATGAGCCGTCCAGGGATAACTATTTATACCTGGTACCAGTAGAGGCCATCAGGAACCTGCAGCATCCCGTCCATGTCTTTCTCCTGGTGGTCTGTTTGCATAGACATCTCTCTTTATGCCAGCAGGCAGAAGCAGATGTAGCTATCCATGCATCTATGAAATGAAAAGCAAAAGAGATTCTCAAGTTATAATAACCAGGCTTTTGTCCTGTCTCTTTCTGCATGCTGCTCCCAAAGATGCCAAAATTGAATGATATCACACTCTCCCTCTGCCATGTCCTCTTCTATATCTTTTATCACCACCCGCAATGCGTCTTCTTTTGCTCTCCAGGACAGAAACTGTGCTTTGTAAGTGAAGAAATTTGCCGCTTCTCGGCGAAGGATATAAAAAAGGAAGAAATTTCTGCTTCTTCTGCTTCTTCTTTTTCCTTTTCCTTCTGTTATTGTTTTCCTCATATGTTGTGGACTTTCTGTGTTTCTCAGCTTCTTCATATTTTATCACCCTGACTGTGTCCTGTATTGGAACATCAACTCTGTATCAGACACTGAACCAGGTTCGGCTCTCGAGGTACCTGCTGTACTTCCTTTTCTTCGGTACGTCTCCAGTCTCCTTGTCTCGAGTTGACCAGTTTGACGCGTCTCGAAGGCTGACTTCACCCTTGATACCAGGTATCAGCGCTTGTAACAGCCCACCGTCAACATGTCTGTTGCTAGCTCTACGGAGGCTATCATCATGCCTCCAGGGCCGCTCGAGGACATGTCTAATGTCGCCGACGCTCTTCCTGAGGCCGAAGAGGCGGCCGCCATGGCTCGCGAGAAGGGCTGGGTTGTGCCTCAGCGCTACAACTACGAGGCTTACAACGCTCTGAACCGTGACGACTATGCCGATGCCTTGCCATGGGCGTCTAACTCGGCCAAGTACGAGTGGAAGGAAGAATATGGTGATATTGGTCCTCCAAACGAAGAGCTTGAGCAGATGCTTTTCAAGGATGAGTATATTCCTCGCGTTGGCAAGTTGCTTGAGAAGTATGTCTACCCGCGTATAACTTGGATAATCTACGTGTTTACCTTGCTGACGCTTTTTATTATTGCAGCATTCGCCAAATCCAAGTCACTGCTGAAACTACTGAGCGTCCTGATCCCATCAAGAGTGTATGTACCGATTATTAAACATATATGTGTGGTGCTAACACGTATATAGTTCGAGGATGCTGGCTTGCATCCTATCATGCTAAACAACATCAAGCTTTGCGGCTATATTGTTCCTACCCCTGTTCAAGCCTACTGCATTCCCGCTGTCCTGACTGGCCATGATTTGATTGCAGTCGCTCAGACCGGTATGATAGACATTTATATTCACGTTTAAAAAATATCTCTGACAGCATTAGGATCTGGAAAAACCGCTGCCTTTTTGATCCCTGTCTTGTCTAAGCTTATGGGAAAAGCGAAGAAGCTCGCTGCTCCCCGTCCGGACCTGGGCAACGGTTTCAACGAGAGCTTGGATGCCGTTCGAGCTGAACCACTTGTCCTTATTGTTGTTCCAACCCGTGAGTTGGCTACCCAGATTTTTGATGAGGCACGTCGTCTCTGCTATCGCTCAATGCTACGCCCATGCGTTATCTACGGAGGTGGGCCTAGTCGTGACCAACGCATGGAGCTCCAGAAAGGCTGTGACATCTTGATTGCTACTCCTGGTCGTCTTATCGACTTTATGGAGAAGCCCAATATTCTTTCTCTCTGCCGCGTTCGCTACACCATCATTGACGAAGCTGATGAACTTCTCAAGTCCGACTGGGACGTCGAGTTTACCAAGATCCTTGCCGGTGGAGGTATGTATCGCGTCTTTCATATTGATTTATGAGGTACTAACGCGTACATAGATATTAATGAGGATGCTGATCATCGTTATATGATGTTTTCTGCCACCTTCAACAAGGGCTGTCGTCAGGTTGCTCGCAAGTTCCTGGCCAATGACTATGTTCGAATCCGCATTGGCCGTGTTGGCAGCACCCATTTGAACGTCACTCAGCAAGTATGTTACGCGTCTCTACAATTTTTTTCATTATCACTGCTAATGGAACATAGCTTGTTTGGGCTGAAGAAAACATGAAGAAGAAATGTCTCTACGATCTGTTGATGGCCATGCCTCCATCCCGTACCATCGTGTTTGTCAACAACAAGACCCAGGCCGATTTGATCGATGATTTCTTGTTCAACATGGGATTGCCTAGTACTTCCATCCACTCGGACCGTACCCAGCGTGAACGTGAAGATGCCATGTTAGTATTCCATGCTTCTTTTTGCATATAGTTATATTGACATCCAGTAGCCGTGCCTTTAAGACTGCAAAGTCTCCAATTCTGATTGCTACCGCTGTCTCTGCTCGCGGTCTTGATATCAAGAATGTCATGCACGTTGTCAACTACGACTTACCTTCCGTTAACCACGGTGGTATCGACGAATACATTCACCGCATTGGTAAGATGTCTTCTTTCCAATACAAGTATTTTCAATGCTAAAACAATGTTACAGGCCGCACTGCGCGTATCGGCAACCCAGGTCTAGCTACCTCTTTCTACAACGACAAGAACTCTGATATTGCTAGCGACCTGGTCAAGATCCTCGTCGAATCTAAGCAAGTCATCCCTGACTTTTTGCAGAGCGAAGTTCCACCAGACGGTGTGCTTGACTTCAACGATGATACCGATGACGAAGCCGGTAATGATGATAATGCTGGTGACGATGGCTGGGGTGCTGCCGCCCTTCCTCCAGTTGCTGCAGGCTTTGCTGAGGCTGCTAATGGCAAATCTGAGGCAGAGACCCAAGGTGGTTGGGGCAGTGGTCCTGCTGATGGTGAGTGGTAAATGACGGTTCATGATGCCGATGGCACCATTACCAGTGCTGTCCCTTTTGCATCGTCTCGTCAAGCCCGGTTTCGGTTGATCCATTTCCATCAGCCAACATGTCCTCTTTCCAACGCATAACAACACAGACAAATTATCAGAACAAGTCCCTTAACTACTAAACACCAACAAAACCTACCAAAAAAAAATGAGCCAGACTTGTTCATATATTCTTACCCTACAACTACACACCATGGATACCGCCCTGCCGGCTTAAGTCGTCTCTCTCGCTTACTCTTGTTGCTCCCTTACTTAACTGCAGTCTACGTCGCCTTGTTTATGTATAGGGAGCAACAAGTTCAAGTTGCTGGCAGGGCGGTGTCCATGGTGTCATACAAAATACCAAAAACATCTGTTATTTCAGTGCTCTAACTTAAAAAAAAAGATAGAGAACAACTGCATGATCTAGGTTGCTAGTTAGGTAGTTAGTTTAGGATGCAAATCCAGACTCTTTCTCTATCATATGGTGTTCTCAGTGAATGTTTCAAATATACGTTATTCTCTTTGGTTGATCAACAAAAACATGCCATCATTCCGGGGATCGTCAACCTAGCTCAACGAACTAACTAACTAGCTGAACAGGGGATCCCGGCCGAGAAACTACAACATCTTACCATCAACACTCAACAGCCCATGATCGACATCTAAAACCCACTGTACTATCAATTATAGGCATAGTATTTTCCTATGGATGATGCTTTCTACCTGGGCAGTGCCCCATCAGCTCTTTCTGCAATGAAGAGTCTTCCTTCTGAAACCCAGTCAAGATTCCAGACTTGTGGATGGGATATCAACAACCACTTCATGCAATGAATCAATATCCAGCGCTGAGAGTCCTTGCAAAGCATCGTTAACTCTTGGTTACCCTTATCATTCGGTGTATATTCAGGTTATTCGGTATATCTAGCAGATAGTGAATCGATACCGCCCACCATGGGGCCATCAAATTGGTTCCAACGCCTGGCATCGATGGCCATTAGCAGCGTCATTCTGATGAACGCCAACTCCTCTCTCGCCGCTCCTGTTGCAAAATACGACCCCTTGGTGATCGATACGTTTCGTAGCCCTGAAACCAATGACCTCGGATTCTGGCATGGCGTTGACGAAGGGATGCCCTCTGAATATGGCGAAGATTTCCTACGCCTTTCCCCCACAAATGCCGATATGAACTTCTATACCCAGATAGCCACCAGCTGTCTTGACATGACCGCCTATAAAGACTCTTATCTTCATGTTGTCTTCAAGGGGTCAGATAAGTTCACTATCAGTTTAACGCAGCATAATGCGGAGTGTGATCAGGAGAGGGCACCGTTCCCTGAAACATGGGATTCGATCGAGGCCTCGCGATATTCTAGAGGAGGTCATATCTATGTTCCCCTCTCTCATTTTTACATTGACTTTATGAGACCCAACTCGATTGGTTTTCATGGCTTCTATACGAGAGAAGATGTTACCTTGTTCAAGGTTGAGATTGTTTCATCCCTTCCGGAGGGTATGAAGCTACCCGACAAGCTTCCGACTGGCACTCTGGCATTGAGATGCAAGAGATCGAACTCATTTGCCTTTGGTATTGATGACGGACAGCCACAATATGCTCAGGAGGTCATGAAAATGATAGCCGAAGAAAATATTCTAGTTACCTTCTTCACCGTCGGTAACGGGTTGTTGGATGAGGCTGCAAACTTTACAAATGTATACAAGGATATGTTGGACCGTGGACACCAGGTTGCTCTTCATACATTCTCCCATCCCATGTATGTTGCTTCCTGGACATATCGACAGAATTCGAGTTGACGATATATAGGATGGAAGGCCTGCCAACTACAGAGAAGATCGATGAAGAATTTAAAAAGAATATGGATGTCTTCAAGGAAAAATTAGGCATTGACAGTAGGTGATCACCGTTTACGTCTTCATTTTATCGCTAATGAACTCTTAATAGGTCGCTATTTCCGTCCTCCCTTCGGCAACGTGGGCGCTCGAACTCGACAAAGGCTTGCGGCCTTGATCCCTGACCCATACATCATCAACTGGAGTGTGGATATTGAAGATTGGTTATGGGCTGGCTCTCCAACTCCTGAGAAGCAACTGGAGGCCTTCAAGAGAGACTTCGAAAAAGGTGGTGATATTGCTGTCATGCACTATCTTAATCCTACCACTATCTCCTACTTCAGAGAGGTATTCCAACTAGTCAAAAAGTCTGGGAGGCGCATTATGCGTGTTGATCAGTGCATGGAAGACCCATCTGCGCCACCATTGAAGTAAAATTCAGGAACATTGTCATTACACTCATAGATTTGGAAGACGATACGGCTGGGGAACTATCATTAGCTAAAGAGACCAGACCACACTTATTTTTACCTACCACAATTATAGAAGATAAGTAATCAAAATGCTATACCAAACACTGAACCTCAACGGAATATTTATATAACTACACGGGTGAAGTATAGCGAACATTTATATCCGATACATATTGAATCCACGGTGCCACTCCCTGTCTACTTCGATTCCTGGGATTTTCTAAAAGTTTCAATCATCTCAGTATGCGCCTTCTTCAACTCCGGAATAATCAAACTCTCAATTTCAACTTCAGGCTGGGGTTGAGCAGCGCCTCCACTAGCAGCAACACTCCCCTTTCTCATTCTCGTGGTTGACTTTGGAACGCGAACCCACTCCAATCCAAACTTGCCGGTCGTCTTGTCCCGACTCACAAATACAACCTCCCACTTTCGAGTTGACAGCAAGTTACCAATAACCATATGATGTGCATATCGTTGTAACGCTTGCTCGGACTTCGATATAAGTAAATCAGGATCTGTCTCAAGCTTGAAACTGACCACCATACTGCCTGTCGGTGCCCAGCCATCAACCAGCCGGTGCAAGAACTTAGGAACGGGGTCAAGGTCGATAATTAGCTTTTTACCATGCGTTGGGGGCTTTGGATCATTGAAGCCTGTATAGATTGTGTCGGGATCAATATCAGAATTCGCCTTTTCCGAATTTGACTTCTCTTTATTGGTAACCGGTTCATTGGATGATTGGATCTTATGTTCTACCATCCTATCACGAGGGATAAAGAAGTCGGAAACGGCAGCGGCAAGATAAAAAAGGGCATTGGGCCCGAGAGGTTTCATCAGATTGGCAAGTGATCGGAGTTCATACAGGTATTCCGTCACCGTAACGAAGGGAAGGACAAGTAGGAGGTTGTTATCCTTCGCATATCGGTACTGTCGCAGGACCTTGCGCATTTCATCCTGGTATTCAGATCGAACAATAATGGGACCGTCTCCACTATTACCGGTGCCTGAAGAATCAGAAGAGGAGGCCCCTTCATCCATAAAATCAAGGAAACAATTGGTTGAATGGCTGAAATGTCTCGAGTATGGAAGTAAGCTGAACTGTCGATGTAAGAAGATCACTGCATATCCCTCTTGCAAGAAGTACTCTGCAGAAGTAGCTCCACGGGTACCGGCAGAGAAGTTATCCACGAATCTGACTGTCTGTGTCTCAAGGGGTACTGTTGTTCCCCCGGAGGTGACTAGAACCAATCTTCGGCCCGTCTGGACATGTCTATCTATGAACTCCTTTGCCAGGTCATGATGCTCCTGCAACGAGGGGGGTGGCGGATTGATTTTAAAGTAGTAAGACTCGGCTTCCTCCGGGGTCAGAGTTTGCGTTGATGAAGCTATATGAGCTGCTTGAGACATGAGAGCGATGGTTTATATAGTCCAGGATATAACTAATGGTTGTTAGGGAACCGCCAAACAGAGTGGCGAGGTCAAACTCGGTGGATGTACTGTAACTGCTGTTTAGTCCTCTTTGTCTCCGTCTGTAGTTATTGGAAAGATGATGATTCCTCCTCTTCGGCGAGTTCTTTATATAGGCGATTTATTCTTAGCGGTTCCAGATCCTACTTTGTATATCTTGTCATTGGCGGGGCACGGCAAAAGGCCGTCGGGGAATGCGACCGTAGGACACTCAATAGCGAAAAAAGAAGAAAATTCTCACAGCGAACCCAGCATGCTATTGCAATAAATGACAAAGATTGTATATTAATTACCGACAATAACTGAATCTCCTTGAGTCTTGCTGGATGTTTTCCTGGAGGTTTGGATTACTTTTTTGGGACGGTCGGCATTAAAGTTATGCCTCGGCTAATCTACAGAGGTTATTGCTGACTAAGCAAAATTTTACTAATCTCAGGAAAAAGGGGCAGGAGGTTTAGTATAAAAGGCCTTTGAATATTGTTGATAAGAAATAGACTAAATAATCATGAGAATCATAATGAGCGTACTCCACACTTAATTGACAGAGTGCAAAAAATTGGCAAAGGCATTTAGTCATGCAACAACCGGTTCCATGCATAACTAGTCTCGAACCAACTACCTGGACTGGTATGTCGAAAGGACGTGTACCCGAGATACCGAAGTAAACGGATCCTAATTTCAGCAGCAGAACTAATGTTGCGAGATAAGTCAGCAATCATAGCTGGTTCAGAACATACTCGCAACCTGATAAACACTCACCTGCCAAACGCCATTGACAAAGCATCCAACAAAGCACGGAGTTCTATCGCAGCAGCCTTGGGCCCTGAACTGATTGGAGGCCCCGGATTCGCGGATGGCAGAAGTGTACTCCTTGTGAAGGTCGTGATAGGCTTGCTTGTAGTCCGAGTCCACAATGTCAATGGAATTAGAGGAGCATGTTGGTTTAGCAATAGCAGCTCCGGCGAGGATGGAGAAGATGGCAACAGAGAACTTCATGGTGGAAAGCAGGCTTCGAGTGTAGCTTGAACTGGTTGGAAAGTGGTAGTTGGACGTTATTGTAACTTGCTAGGCAATGCGATGGGATTCTCTGGGTTGGTGAAATTATCTTCGAGAGGGGCCGGAGGTCCTATTTATACCTTTCGTGATGCTGCTGACCGACGACATTGTTATGGTGAGGTGTATCTGGTCTCCAGATGAAGAACATGGGTTGATTGGGTATGTACCGTAAAGATTCCATATCAATATTGATGTATCTAAAAGAGACCCCGCCTAGAAAAACAATGCAATGCATGATGGAAAGACATGGAGTGCCATAGATTCGTCCATCTACCGGAGGACATGCATGGTGTTTACTGCCTTTCAGCTAGCCACCCCTTTGAGTTCCAGAAGGGAGGGGATAACCGGCTTGCTTTCCTAAAAGCATATCGGAAAATCGAATACCATTAGGCTATGGTTTTAGAGATGCATAAGCTCTATGAGTCCAAATCAAACTGGTATCTCCGCCAAGGTCAAAGTCAATCAATTCATGAATATGAATGAGGCTACAGCTCAGCTGACCCCAGCGCTTCCAATGACTCAGCTGACCCAAACTTTAAAAATTTACGTAAGATCTTATGTAATAAAGTTTCGCTCAGTTGAGTTAAGCGCTGGGGTCAGCTGAGCTACATCCGTTCATGAATTCCGGCCCAAAGTTTTAGTTTGGGAGTGACAGGTAGGCATGGCCATGGATGGATCTAGTCGGATTTGAAAGTCGAACGTCTGGATCCGGGGTAGTTACTGGTATGACCCAAAAATGAGTCTGTAAGACAGCCAAAATATCAACAAAGAGCATCGCTGGGTATCCTTGTGGTAGACCGTTTAGATGCATAGTCGGCAGTCAGCCATGATATTGTTGACCAGGGAGAGAGAGATATCACAGATATCTGCTTCGTAGGGCCTGGCTGATGGTACTCATCCGGCTGGTAACGCCACTACGCATGTTGCTCAACAGAGCTTCTTCCAATGCAGACTGAGAAACGCTGGCATCTATGCATTATCAAATGAGAATATAAAGTTAGTATTCGACTTGCCAAACTGAGTAAATAGAAAGACGAGAAGAAAGGTGAGAGGACTGGAGGCTTGAGTCTGATTAATATAATTACAACGTACCATCCAAATCACTGAAACTGCTCCCCATGCTAGGAGTGCCTTCACTACCACGTCCATGAGGACTTCGTCCAGACAGCTCTGCAGTTCTGCGTGGGCTGAGCGGCCCCAGTGGGCCAGTGGGGCGGCGGGAAGTGGACGGCTCATTGGCAGGCGATCCCGTTGCCATGCCAGAACTTGAGCTCGTTGTGGATGATTCTGGCAGATCTTGCTTTGTCTTTGCTAGCGGAGTGACGCCGCCTGATACTTGTCGGCCTTGATGCTTGAGTTGTTGAGGCATTTCGCGCAATGTCGCTGCGGGGTCACTATGCGATGTAGTTTTTCCTGTCTCATGTATAGATTCAAGCGGGAGAAAAGCAGGAGAGTCTTCTTCGTCTTGTTCCTCTTCATCCTTGGGTGGTGCTCGTTTCTGGACCATGGAGAATTTTCCGTACCGCCTATACTGCGGCCGGTTGGATTCTTCATCAGAGTCTGAGCTTGAACTTGACGAGGATAAAGGTCCGGGGCTGTCTTCGCCTTGTCTTGGAGACAATGGCGGTAACGCATTGGTCCTTGACTCTCCTCTCCCTCTTTGCTGGGGTATTTCGCCCGAGCTTCGCCTGGATGGCTTGGGTAGTGTGGCGACCGCATCTCCAGAAGACTGGTTTCTGACAGAAGTTGGACGGGGAAAATTCGGACCTATTAAACGGTATCAATATCAACCAATGTCTTCATTAAGAGGCTCGCATGTAACCGACCCTGGGATATATTGGGAGTCTGAGGGCTGCTATTATCTGCCCTGGTTGCTGAAATATCTCGCTGAAGCGCAAACAGCCTAGATTGTATGCGAGATCCTGTTCAGGGAGGTTTGTTTAGCTAGATATCGACATCAACATCAACAGCTAATGTTTGCATATGGACCATACCGTCACTGCCAGATCTATTCATAGGTACACTGCCTCCAGGAGTCCCACCACCGGCAGACGTAGCCTGCCCAGAAAGGGGATTCTGTTGCCCGACTCTCCGAAACTGCGCCCTCACCTGAGAAAGCCGTCGATCGTATAGCCAGGCAACATGTTGGAGCAAAAATGGAAGGGTGACATTGAACTTCTCCGCGCTAGGGAACTGTTGATTAGCTAAATCACTCTCAAGACGGCGTATTATTGAGTCGCATACAGAGCTTTCCCTGCGCACTGGTGTTAGCCTATATATCACCAACTGAAGGGGGAGAATGAACAAGGCAGTATTAGCATCTGCAACTTACAGTCTACTCCTTCTTTAGGGGCTGCAGATAAAACATCCCATAGTATTCTATCATTAGCGGTATCCCAGTTCACCTATATCAAGCATGTCAGTGCCTGGAGCAGTCGAGCCAACAGCCATAGCATGCTCTCTATAGCTATAACTAGATCTACGGACGCTGAAACTCACTGGCGGTGGGTCAACGAAGTCGCCTCGCGGGAACGGTAGGCGAATGAAGACAGTGAATTTCGGGTCGCTGGCCAGGTCCGGAGTCGACATATCGTGTAGCAGGAGGTTAACACAGGCTTCGCATGTTATATGCCGTGTCTTCTGCTATTCGTCCTCTCCTGCTGCTCGCTCGCTGGTTTGTTTGAAGTTCGACTTTCGGCTCGTCGGAGTTAACTATTTTTGGACGTCATTTTATTATGTAATAATATATGCCAAGCTATTGTCACGTGCAGATATCAACATCGACAGAAAAAGCAAAGAGAAAAAAAGCAACAACAACAACAACGAAAGAGACGCAAAAAAGGCCGACGATGGATATAAAATAATAACAACAAGAAAGGAGGCTGGTGCAAACCGTTGGGATGGACATGCTGCCACCGGAGAAGACAGAATCCTTGCGCATGTGCATACTTATAAGCCATAAATTCGCCTGAGCACACCTGACCGGGGCTGGCTCCTGTCCGTCCGCCGGGTCGGTAGCTCTACAAAGCCAAAGCAGCATCATGGAAGGCTGCCCGGCGCCAGCAAGCGAGACAGAAGTTGGCGATTTGCAACGGAAGATATAAAAGTGCTACCTTATGCAAGACTTGTCAGGGATCGGGCACATCGCCGACTGCCAACTGGCTGCTTGACTGCGTCTCTGGGGCTCATGCAAACAGCTCATCCCCCCACCGCAGGACACCCTGTTTTGATATATCTACACCACTATACCGTGTACTGACTTGCCAACAATCAACAGCCAACCCGGTTGCCGTTACATCTAGCAGCTTAGCCTGGCACTTTGGACGATCTTACAGCGAGACAGTTACTTCAGTGCTTCTCCCTCCTCGCCTTTGAACGACTTGATTGATAGCGGTCTAAGCATGTTTCAGATGCATCTACAACGGGTGAATACTGCGTCCCACACAACGAACTTGGAAGTACAAACTACCGGTCGACACGGCGAAGGGTGCGGGCAGAAAGAGACGCCCTGGCAGGCTTATCGGGCGAATACCACCCTGTCGCCTCCATGTCACCCGCTCTAAGACGTTCATGCATCACTCTGGCGGTGTGAGTAGGGCGGTTGGGTAGATATTTCCCTATCACATGATAAGCGGCGGCCTAAGTATGCCTCCTCCGTCGCCAGCAAGGTTAAGGGTTAAAGGAAAGGGGGAAAAAAGAAAAGAAAAAGAGATATACACATAGGAAAAGGGCAACCTGGCGGGTATTTGCATGTGGACAAGGAGTTGAAGCAGCAGGAGGGGGAAAGAGGAAATGCAATCATCAAGAAGATTTCATTCATTCACTCGCCTCCAGCCTCAGCCTGTCTTTACATCAAGACGGTTGATTTTACCTTTGGCCGGGCAATAACTATATGGTACGGAGCTTAATCATCAACTAGAGAGTGGCCCTTCCGCCAGTACCGAGCCAGGGAGCCACCCATGACGTGCATATTGAACTTACGCGGGATTCTATATATCTGAGATCGGTTCGCCTGTGCGGCTCCAGCATGTGTCAGGTGTATAACTGCTCCTGAGTTGGCCCTTTATCTTATTTCTTATGCAAGGGAGATCTCCTGCTGGCGTCACTCGGGGTTTGACTCGCCATCTCCTCCAAGAACGTAATAACCTATACAGCTCTGCTCCGCCATAAATACAGGTGGGACCTGATCAACAACCAGCAGGTTATTCTTCCGTGTTTCAGGCATACAATTCTCGCTTACGGGTTAGGTGCTTCTGCCGGTGTCCATGTTGGGATTGACACCGTCGTATAATATACTCCTCCTTTCGTCTACATCCACTTCCACATCATCTCCAGATCAGAAAGGCAGAAAACAATTGAATTTATCTCCCTTTAAAGCAAGCAGCTGCCTGCCATGGCAAACCAAGAGGGTTTCTCAACGGCCAACTCAGATACCCTACTACATGAGCCAAATTACCGTACTTACGTACTGCAGCTATCAGAGAAGAAGGAAGAAGAAGAACTTACGGCTCTTCGACAGAAGGCACTGGATATTGGTTTGACAATCAAGGATGATAGTGAAGAGTCAAAGGGGAGGCTGGAGATTGCCTCTGAATCGTATGATTCTTCGACACCGACCCCGTCAACGCTGATGTCACCCAGTCAAGTCACCATCCCTTCATCAGTGTCATCCTCAACTCAAAGATTACCTAGTGGTGCTCATTCCGTTTCGTCGATGGCAACCTGTCCGACTACATGCAATGAGGGAAAGACACATCAGAAACTTCCTGTAGTCAGCCCTGCCCCAAGCAGACACTCGTTCGACGCCTCGTATTACCAAGATCATCGGTTTACGTCTGGCTTTAGGCAGTCGATACTATCCCGATTCCCTTATTTTAAAAAACGTTTGTCCGTGCCCAATGCCCTACCGTCCGGATCCTCATCTCCCCTTATCCCTTCACAGATATTTCGACAAGATTATACGGTAGAGGCCAGAATAGAAGTTGCCCCTTCGTCCGAATCTCCATCCCCGGTTCATTTAGAGATTCCCAAGCTCGAAGAACCAATCGATATGGAGTCCGTCGCTCGAAGCCTATCATGCTCGATCTTGACGACTTTACGAGATATACATGAAAGTCAAAAGCGAAGGCATCTAGAATTCCAGAGGAAAATCATAAACTCTATTAAAACAAAACATGATGCCCTTATTGAAGTAAGGCGGAAACAGAACCAGGAAAATGAAGCTGCGCTTGAGTCTCGGGCAAGTCGTCCTTAAGCAAGTCCTTTTCAAGGTTGGAGAACAGTCTACTAACAAAAAGCAAAGAATACTGCAAAAGCAGCCAGGATTGAAGAGAGAGACCTCGTTGCCGAACTATCACTTGTTGCGGAACTACAACGCGAGAAACAATCTCTCCAAACTAGTATACGGCATATGGAAGCATACTTCAATACACCACCACCTAGCCTGTCATCCGATAAAAACGACTTCTACGCTAGCCTCCAACCGCGCGAGTATACCGACCAGAAACGAAACCGGCTTTTCCAAAGTTATCACGAACTAGCTACACTTGACGCACTACATCAATCCAAAATAAAAGTCCTGAGGGATAGGCAAGCAAGAGCTTTCCAAGAGTCACTGCAGGACATGGAACTCGACTCTATCGAACTCGCAAGGAAGAACAGTGAAGCTTTGAGCGACCTTGAAAAGCGAAAGCAGGAAGAAACCGAGGTAGTGTTGGCTTGGCTAGATGGTAAAAAGCAGGGGCTTATCTACAGATGGGCACTAGAGGAAGGCATTGCGAGAAGGCAGCTGGAGGACGAGACCAGGCTGACTTATGGTCCTTTGCCTGCCATATCATTCAGCGAAGGCGAATACGATGGCCTCACCCTTGAAAATTGAATGTTGCATCCCTTGAGAAGGAAGCAGATGATGAAAGGTATAATCCAGTGTCTAGATGACCTTGGCTGGATATATATCTTTCCGCCACTTCCGAACGGCCTTCTCCCACTCTTTTGCTTCATGGTGTATTTTTGACGCTTGACCCCTTGTACCATCGTATTTGCAGAGCAACAAATGGTCAAAATGTAATAGGCTTCCCGTGTATCATATCTTCATGCCGGACGTTTGTCGACCTTGAAGCCCAGCACCCAGCTCTTGCGTAATGTAGGGGCATCTTGAGTCGAGCTTTAGAGCCCAAAACTCCGACGACCAAGTTCTTCTCGTACCCTGAAGCTTGGGGACCGGGCCGGCTTACCGGCCTCCCATCCTCGGTTGGTTGTCAATCCCCCAAATGGATAGAAGCGATCTCTGTTATTGGAGGGTTCGTCATTTGATGTCTTTGCGTCTGGTAATAAAGATATAGGCACATCTTTACAGTCAATGTAATATATTGCCAAAAAATAAGACAGATCACTGACAATCACGTCGATCCGGAACTCCCGGAGATATCACCTAATCCAACGATCTTCGAACTAAATATAAACGGCTCAAACGGAGTGTGGGGAATGCCAGCCTTAATACGAGATGAATTGTGGGTGTTCAAACAGCACTCCAATCAAACATTCAATCCAACTCAAGTAGGACGTTTTAAATATTTATATTCGCAGCGGGCTATCGCACACGTGGGATCAGTCGACATACAAAGAGGAGCATTGGATATCTTTGGCAAATACGAGCTCGTGCGCTAGAACGGATATAACTAATTGACTTCCTGTGGACCATCCCCAGTGGCATCTGAATAATTCGACCGTCTCTTCAGTTTGGATATATAATAGTTGTCTATTGCTTCTGTATTCCCGCAATATAGCCATAATGTTGCTCCGAGGGTAGCTTTGGGAAATACGAAATGGAGCTCGATAGTCGAGAAAGCCCCGAGGTCGAAAAGCAGTCAAGCTGTTGCGTCACAGGCATTGTTTGGCCAATTGGTTCTGGATGAGATAGAACGTGGTCAACGCCGTTAAAGCCATGAATTTGTAATGATATGGTCGAGTTCGGGTATAAAAGGTCTGGCTTGATATCACCAGCCTGGCCGTAAAACCAGCAAGCTATTCCTCAATCCATCCAGCCTCGCACAACATCTAATATCTCTCTGCCAAACAGACCAGCTGTAAGCCCTTGACCTGTACCCTTTCCCAGGCATACAAGCAGGTTCCTAACACTATACATATGCAAAAAAGCTACACAAAATGAAGGTCGCATCCTCCGTCGCTGCGGTTGCCGCCCTCGTCTTTGCGTCTTCCGCCAGCGCCTGGCGTTTGAATGCCTATCAGCTCCAGAACTCGGAGGGCCCAAAGTTCACTGCCGGCGGACCAGGCGGTTCTGGCAGCGCCTGCCACAGCGTTGGTGACCTTAACAACAAGATTTCATCCATTGAATGGTACTCTGATGACCCAACGCACCACACCCGCTGTTGCTTTGTCCCATTCAATGGCCTTGGCTGCACCGGTGACCTTGGTCAGAGCTGGTGCCGCAATATTCGTGTTAGCGACCTTGGCCAGATCGGTATGGATAACAAGATTAGCTCCTTCCGTACTGACTGCTATAAACCAACTACCAAGCGTATGGAGGAGTTCCAGTTCTGAGCCGACCAAGGTTACTTTGACAACAAGCACATGGTGCAGTTTTTGGTTTATGTTGGGGGGGGGGGATATCCTAATCCGATGATGTATATAATAAACACAGCCACCCCTTAGGTATTCATTAATATAATGCCAAACCTGTAATTGATGTTCTCTTATGTTGTTGACTTGTCGGTTTGATTAGGATAAACGTCCCCGTGTGGTATAACATGGGATAGTGAGCAGTAAACTTAGGCAATCACGTTTCGCTGTCAAGGAGCCGTTGTACTATACCCTCCACACGGGTATCACCTCCAGCGATAATCATTTCGGTTACCTTGTCACGACCGTTGTCGCCTATGATAATAGCCCTTTCGACAAGCCCCTGATTGCACACCTTGACTCTGCCAATGCGTCCATCCTGCCACTGGAAGCGTATATACCTAGCGTCGATTGATGCAGCGGTGACGGACAATATTCCGAGTTTAAATGCAGTTGTATTTGCGGGTATATCGGTGGAGTTTAGGTTAGCAATGCCCAGCTGTTCCTGTAGTAAAGTAATAACATCTCGTCGAAGATGCCATGCGACAAGCTCACGGCGCAGTCCCCGCACCAAGCCTTTGAGATTTTGCTTCCTTCGCTTCCACGGCTTTAATCCTCCACCAGACCCATCCTCAGATGCCTGGTTCGGGAGATATTTCTGTTCCAGATGCTTCAGTGGTATAAAAACTGGTATGGTATGCCGATGTATTCGTAGTAACTTGCGATCGCCCCCAGTGCGCCTGAGAAGTAAATAATACGGCTTCACAAAGGTCCCATCACGAACATTAACATCAATCCGAACACCAAGCAGATCAGGTGAGTCTGTATGAGGCGATGGGTCCTTGAACGGAAATGAGGTAGCCGAAAAGACGATGCGATGGTGGTTTGTTTCGGCGTGTCTCTTGGACTCGACAATCGCGGACGGCGTATCGGAATCGACCTGGCTCAAGAGATGCGACTCAAGGCTGTTTCTAACCGTGCTACTGGACAGCAGACTGGCTGAAAGGACTTGTCTTCGCGCCGTGAGCTTTTGAACTAGGTCACTGTTAGCTGGCTCGACAGGACGAATAAAACCGAGAATAGACCTACTTTCTTCGCGCACAGCAGATATCTCCTCATCCAATGCCGCCGACTGATCTTCTTCCGCCATTGCCATCCTTCGATACCACCATCTAGGCGTTTGTCATGGTCGATGTCGTCTGTTGTGCCTCCTCGTCGTCGTCGTCCATAAAGCGGGAGGTCAGTGTAAACAACCGGCTTAGTCAGCAACTAGTTATCGCGATCCCAAACCTTTAATTTTTCTTCTGCAAAAGGACAACTTGCAGCTTGCAAGCGACTTCATAGGCGCCGGAGGGGGGATTCACTCGGGTACAGACTAACTTGGCTTATTCATGGTGACTAGACGCTGCTCGTATCCTCGTCTGCGGCTCAAAGACATGCTGACACCTGTTCTCTAGGCCATACCCGGTGCTATATAGTCCGCTGTACCTCTTCTCTGCCTCCTATAGATCAGAACGAAACCATGTCTTGTCCCTTCTCCACATAAATTCTCCGGGATAACTAGTTAGTCTGCTATAGCCTCGCTGCATTCTCGTGCACATACATCCTGCCTCTCGTTCTACCCGGTTTCGAAACAGAGAAGACCCAAATGAAACGCAAGAACGGTTCTGTGAGAAAACGAGCCAGTCGGCAGAGCCTCAACCTCCACACGAACGGCCACGCCAACGCAGGCGGCAAGATGGACTCGCAGATAGAGATGCGGAAGAAGGGCGTCTCCCTCGAGTCGACGTCGACGCATACCTCTAGGGTGATGGACCGACCAGAATTTTCCCTAGACGACTCTCCCCCGCCGACTCCACAGTCTGCCGCGGCCGTGAGCACCAGCTTCAACGATCTACCGGCGCCTGATAAACGAAATTTCCTCCTGTTATGCATGCTATACTTCCTCCAGGGCGTGCCCATGGGTTTGGCCATGGGTTCGGTACCTTTTCTCCTTAAACCGAACCTCTCCTACGGACAGATCGGCGTGTTTTCGCTCGCTTCATACCCGTACTCGCTGAAGCTTCTATGGAGTCCCATCGTGGACGCAGTTTGGAGCCAGAGGTTTGGACGACGGAAGAGCTGGATCATGCCTATCCAGACAATCTCTGGCTTGGCCATGGTATATCTTGGTAGCCACATTGCAAATATGATGACTGCAGCAGCTGATAAGGGAGGAGACGGCATATGGGGCTTTACCAAATGGTGGTTTTTCCTTGTCTTCCTCTGCGCAACGCAGGATATCGCCGTTGACGGCTGGGCCATTTCTCTCATCTCACCTCAGAACATTGCGTTTGCCTCTACCGCCCAAACAGTCGGCCTTACGGCCGGGCACTTCCTATCATACACCGTGTTCTTGGCATTTAACTCGCCGCATTTTGCTAATACGTGGTTCCGCTCTACGCCATCGAATGAAGGCCTCATCTCTCTAGGTGGTTACTTGAAATTCTGGGGGTGGGCATACCTTCTCGTGACCATTGGATTGGCCGTGCTCAAGAAGGAGGAAATTTCAAAGGATAGGGACGGCATTATTGAGGTATACAAGAGCATGTGGAAGATCTTGAAACTCAGCAATATCCAGACCATCATCATCATACATCTGATCGCAAAAATTGGCTTCCAGGCAAACGAGGCCGTGACGAGCTTGAAGCTTATTGATAAGGGTTTCGGTCAGGATAATATGGCTCTGGTCGTTCTTGTTGACTTCCCGTTTGAGCTTGCCCTCGGTTACTATGCTGGAAAATGGTCAACGGAATATACTCCCATGAGGCTGTGGTGCTGGTCATTTGTAGGCCGGCTTGTAGCTGCTCTCTTAGCCCAGGCTGTTGTCATGATTTATCCAAGCGCCCCCGGTGCTGCTGTCCCCGGATGGTACATGTTTGCAGTTATTGGCGAGCATCTGTTGTCCACTTCGATGAACACTATCATGTTCGTTGCCTGCTCTGCATTCCATGCAAAGATATCCGACCCAACAATTGGCGGCACTTACATGACATTACTCGCGACGTACGTATGCCCTTCGAACCACTAATTAAAACCGTTTGCTAACCGTTTTTCTAGCGTCTCGAATCTTGGAGGAACTTTCCCGAAGTATTTTGTTCTTAAACTTGTCGACAGTCTCCACAGTGCAACCTGCGTTCCTCCATCTAAGGCCCCTCAGGGAGTACAGTCTCCCATCACTACTTCTTTCTCCTGTTCTCTCGAAGCCGATAAGAACCGCTGCCTGTCCGGAGGCGGCGTTTGCCGAGTCGACCGTGACGGCTTTTACTATACGAATATATTATGCGTGGCCATTGGTGCCCTCACTTTCTGGTTCTTTATCCGAGGAGCCGTTATGAAACTCCAGAGACTCCCCTTGCGTGCATGGCGAGTCACCCCAGAGGATACAGTTAGATGATGATGATGCTCGTATCTATGTATGATAGAGTGTATGCTCTTCTTTTTGGTCTTGGTTCCGGGTTATAAAAGAGATTGGTCTAGCTATAGCTATTTTAATCGTTGCATTATGTATTATTACTTGCCCTGTAAATATTATAATAGAAGACCTTGATTCTTGTTGGGTTAGTTCTCGTATCTCAACTTGGCCCGTATAAATAAGTAGTCGAATACCACTTTACAAGGTGCAACTCCCTTTGATCCTTTAGAATCGTTGAACATATCTACCTCAAGAATGTCCACCCGAATACCAAACAGTCTCACTGGAGGATGTCTATGCAAGGAGATCCAATACGCCATTGATATACCGAAGGACATCTCCTGGCCTCCAGATGTATATGTTCCTATCAACACGTAATTATCTATAACTAATACTGACTGACTTTACCAGCCTCACACTTGCTGGTGCACTCAGTGTCGCAAAGCAACCGGCTCTATCATCGCCCACTTGATCACCTTCGATCCATCCGCTGTGAAGTGGAACGGAACGCCCACTGAGTTCCAGTCCAGCGCCCAAGGACGCCGTGGATTCTGTTCTAAGTGTGGTACAAGTCTGTACTTCAGAGACATAGGGCTACCAGCCGAGATCGAGATATGCACTGGCTCACTCGACGAGGAGATACTGGAGAATCCCCAGCTGGCAAAGGACCTTTGCGATCCTAGCTGCGGGCGTTTCTGGTGCAAGAGGGAGATCAAGAGCACAATATACGAGAATTCAGCTGGTAAACGCTGGCTGGAGGGAAGCAAGTCACGGCTCATGTACGATGGAGAGTAGATATTCCCGTCTCCAAAGACACCGTTAGCTGGAGAAATGACCTTAATTTGATATCTCTTGCATTAATGTATGTAGTTACCCCCGAAACTCTTGCTAATAATATCGAATCAAACCTGGCCTGTGTCTCACCAATGGTTGTTCATCTACGCATCCAATCGTAGTCCTTTGGTTTCCCTGGCCTAGCAGTTTTATTCCTTACGAGCAGCTGCATGATAGCCTATCACCCTTGGCTAGTCATCATGGATCAATAACATCTTGTCAGAACGGTATTGCTCGGCTTATAGAGTGGTTTATATCAACCGGCGTCCTCAGGACCCTAGTTATATCAAACCGGAGTAACCATCAGCTTAGATGTCCATAATAAGAGAGTTATCAGCATCAGAGTCTCACTTCTTGCCCATCTCTGTGGCACAGCATCCGCAGAATAAAGCTGCGGGATAGCATACGATCTAGATAGTTATGCATTAGACACTGGACTAATAAACTGTAGAGTCCTAGTTAACATACCGCCGTCAACACTGCGGCCCAGAAACCTAGGAATGGGAGAGAATGTCAGCTCTCAAATATATAACTAGATGCTTGTATTCAATTGCTAGAGCTTCTCACCAAGTGTTGGGCCTACGATCTTGCATCGGCATGCATTATCTGTTCCGCATTGGATGCACAGGAAGTACGGCTGTGGAAGGGGACACTGGCTACATACGTCCATCCCGAATGATATATAGCCTGGAAT